AAGCACCAAGTCGGACTGTGCTTCCCGGGTGTGGGGCGATGTGGGGCGGGCACCTCAGTGCCCTTATCCCCTTTGCTGTTGGCAGATTTCTGCTTTTCTGTTTGTTTTCACTGTAGGTGACCGCCCTTAACCCTGATGAAATGCTGTCCTAGGGTAGAACTTGTCCCTTCACTCACTTTTTGTTTTTAGTGCTCTGGGTTTTTTTTTTTTATGACTTCCAACTTCCTTTTGATAAATGCTTATACTGCAGGAAGCTTTTAGTTCTCTGTATAGGAATGAAAAACTGTGGACTTATATGTACATTAAAACTTCTCTCGCCTGACTCACTTTCCTCTGTGGTTGGCGAGGACATGTCACAAACACTGCATTTGGTTTCCCTCTCTTCCTCCTTTCCGTTCTGTTTTCCTCACTTTTATTGCTTGGGATGGATGCCTTCCCTCCCCACCCTCCAGCTGCACCCCTGCTTCTCTTGCCAGGCTATTTGTGATCATTTCATTAAGTTCTTAATTCTGGAAGTGTGTAGTCATGATCCTGGGCCCTGAAGCCACACCGCCCCTTCCTTACTGTTTATTTACCGTGTGAAACTGGCTTCCTCTCCACATCTGGAAGAAGGGATGGAAATCCTTTACCACCCCCGCCCCCTTGTTCATTGGATAAATAGGCTGATCAGGTCAGGTTTATTAGTAAGCCTTTATAAAGTTTTAATTATTTTTTACTTACATCTCTCTCTACATACATACATACATCATTTTTTATGGTTAAACAAATTACATTTAGAATTAATTAGCCGGCTAGCCTCACTTTAGATGATCCCAGCTTTGTTGGCAACATCCAAAGCATCCTAGCCAGGAGCCAGTCGCACTTGCACCGTCTCCTCTCCATAGGGCTGATGGGGGCGCTGACCTCGGCCACCGCAGTGTCGGAGCTGCCTCAGTCTGTTGGGGCTGGTGCTTGTGGGCCTTGATGTCTGCCTTGAGCCTGCTGCCCTGTCTTCTCCACGGCTGACTCGGTGGTCAGTGGGAACCTGGTGATGGCCTACGGGTCAAGCTTTTTGCTCAGGAGTGGGGAGCTCTTCCCAGGATATCTGGGCTGCCTTCAGAGTCTCAGCGTCTTGGGCCGCCAGCAGGTGTATGACGCGTGGATCTTGTTTCGCTTGTGGCCATGGGGGCCTTTCAGCACTGCTTTCTTGGCCTTCAAGGCTTTAGCTTTGGGTGGGGCAAGAGGCTTCCTGCTTTGCTTTCGGCGCCATCTTTATGAAAAGACCACACAGATTTTTGATGTGTATTTCCCATGTTCGTATAAGTGGAAAGGCCTTCCTCCCCGCCCCCAGTTTCACTGCGGTATAAGTGACAAAAAGTATATCTCGGTCAGACAATGTGATGATTTAACATAACATACACATTGTGAAGCGATGCCCACAGTCAAGCTAATCAGCACATCTATACCTCAGTTACCAGTTTGTGTGCGTGTGTGTGTGCACGCGTGCACATGTGTGCAATGAGATACTTAAGTTCTATTCACTTTGCAAGTTTCAAGTAAACGCACAGTATTGTTTACTACAGGCACCATGCGGTACAACAGACTCCAGAAATTATTCATGTTATACCTGAGAGTTTCTACCCTGTGACCAGATTTCCCCTCTCCCACCCTAGTCCAAGCAAGCACTGTTCTACTCTCTGGTTCCAGTTAGACTTTTTGAGGTTCCACCTGTAAGTGAGATCATACGTTGTCTTTCTGTGACTGGCATGTTTCACTTAGCAAAAGCTCCTCCAGTTTCATCCATGTTTGCAAATGGCAGGATTTCCTTTTTTAAATGGCTGTATAATATTGTAGTGTGTATTCACCCTACATTTTCTTTATTTACCCACGGTAGTGCGCAACCAGGTGCAGGGCCGGCTGGGGTGCCTGGGAGGAAACCGAGCCTCCCAGCCGGCTTCGAATCTTTACACTCTCCACGTGCTCTCTGGTGTTCTCATGGTCTCCCCTCTTCTGTGGTCACGTGTCTTCTTGTAGACGTCCTCCGCCCCTGGGTGACGTTGCCCTTATGTCCCTGGCCTCTGGGCTCAGGTGTGCACACTTACGCACACTCACATCCATGCTCCAGAGGTTTGTAATCAGGCACGTGTGCCCGTGCCCACACTCCCAAGCGCCTTCTGCATTAACATGATCAAGGCTGCAGGTGACAGCCACAGAAGCTAGGGTTTAAAAAGCCTGATTAGGGCCTCCCCGGTGGCGCAGTGGGTTGAGCACAGTACTGTGAAGCTGTCTGCAGTCTCTGCAGTGTGGGTTCAATTCCCGGCTGGCCCGGGAGATTCCCACATGGCGCAGCAAACCTCTCCTGTCTCGCCCGCTGCTCCCCTCAGTAGTGTCTTTGGCCCATCTGCCTGTTCTGCTCCCCGCTGTGTCTCTTGTGAATCCTCTCAACCTCCCACGCCACTGGCCTGTACCCCAGCTATTGTATGAATAAAAATGAAATCTTAAAAAAAAAAAAGCCTGATTAATTCACTTGCCTTACACCCATGAATACACTGTGAATAATGCTGCAATAAACAGGGAAGTTCTTCTATCTCAAGATACTGATTCCATTTCTTGATATTGTTAATGCAGAAGGCACTTGGGAGCATGGGCGCGGGACACGCGTGCCCGATTGTGGACACCTGGAGTGTGGTGTGGGCATGTGTGAGTGGGCACACCTGAGTCCAGAGGCTGGGCTCTAAGGGCGATGTCACTCAGAGACAGACTGACTACGAGAGAACGAGCAGGTTGACTGCAGAGCCCACGAGAGAGGCCAGAGAGTACCCAGGGAGAGAGCATAAAGATTTACTGGGGGCTGAGGTACTTGCCAGCCTCCCAGCCCCTCTGCCCAGGCTGTGCCTGCCTCCTCACATGCCAGCCTCCCTGCCTGGTATGCCTGTGCACCTGGTTCCCTGAGAGCATTAAAGCCTGAACGACCCACGGAGGGCTCCTGGACTCTATCCGTCTGCTGAATCTGTAGTGAACCTGCCCTGTGATTGTTAGCACCACAGCAAGCTGGTTCAATTTTCTCTGTTTTGAGGAAGTCACATACAGTTTTCCACAGTGGCTGCACCAATTTACCTCCCCACCCACAGTGCACAAGGCACCCTTTCTTATCTCCCTGCTCCCCCAGCTTTTGTTATCTCTTGTCTTTTTTTTGATAACAACTATCCCAACAGGTGGAAACTAGCTCATTGTGGTTTTGATTTGCATTTCTCTGATGAATGTGATGCCAACCCCCTTTCCGGCTATCTGTTGGCCATTTGTATCTGCCATTTGCAAAAAAGATACTTTACCTATTTTTGAATTGTGTTATTTGCATTTTACTATTGACTTATATGAGTTAATTATAAACTCCTTTATAGTAAGGATCATGTTACTAAGTCTTCCCCAAAGCCAGCTTGTAAATTTTGGCATCTCATAGATCATTCTCTTGATTCTGGGAGTAGAGCTTCAAGATACTATTTGAATGAGATAAGCACTTAGAAATCAGCTCTTTTAAGACATTCTTAAAAGGTTTTGACAAGGAGATAAAAATAAGTGATACAGCCTGTGTTGAATCAATATAGCTTTGTGTTGTCCATGGGAATAAAAATTTCTAATTTATTAATTTTTAACATTCTATGTTCAATTATCTGGACTTTTGGACTGGATCTCTTTGATCTATTTTTTGAATAGTCACTCCAGGGGCTAAATAATTCACCCCACTTTCATAGTCTTGTTAATATTGGATCACTTCAAGTAAAATGTAGGTTTGCCATCATGTATATTATAATTATGTACACTGAAACTCCACTATACTGTGTTACAATGTTTGCTTTCAACTGTCTACATTTCTTAAAGACCTGTTGTAGGAAAAAAGTTACTTTATATTTACCTAGATCTTTATCATTTCTGTTGCTCTTCCTACATTCATCAAGACCTAAGTGTCTCGAAATTTTCCATGATTTTTTTAAATCGTTTTTCTTTCTCTCCTGAGAACTTCCATCTTCCAGTCACTTCATTTGTGTTTAGCTTTCCCTCATGGAGCCTAACCTTCATTGTTGCTTTCTCAAGTCTTATGTGGTAATTGCAACTTTTGTATCATCTAGAGTGTAGCATCTATTGGTTACATTTTTTTTTTTTGAGAATTTGTAAATTTTTAATTTTTTTGTGTTGAGTAATGTTGGATTCTGTCCTGAGCTTCATGTTGTTTAGGTTGGGAGTGCTGGGGCAGACATGGCCAGTGCTTTCTGTTCCAGCAGGTCTGCATCCTGGTCAGGTTCCACTGAGACCAGGTTTCAAGACCAATGCTGTGTTCCTTCCGTCTGTCTGCACATCTACAACTTAGCTGTGAGCCTGAGACTTGTGGGTGTGCACATACAGACTTAGGGGTGCCCCTTTGCCAGCTTTCTCTTTTATTTCTTCACACTCCTGCCCATGGAGACTTTTTTATTAGGGTTTGTTTGTTTGTTTGTTTGTTTGTTTTTTGGCCAGGAAAGACTGGGTTTCTATCAGTTTTACTCTTTGCGCCTCTAGTTCATTGTGTAATTCCATGACTGGTCTCCCTCTTGGGGACAGAGCTGCTAGAAAAAATTGAACACAATGGGGACAACTTTGAGTTTCTTCCCAAAATCTGATTATTTTTGTTTACTCCTTAATGCCCTTGGGTAGTGACTTTGGTGTTCTGCCCAGAACTTTTAGTTTTAAATGGGCCAGGAAAACTGCGGTGGGTTTATGCTGCTATAGCTGAACCAGAATTCTGCTTTGTGACATTTAAAAATCTTGGATCTGTGGCATTTTAAAAAATATCATCCTTTATAAATTATCTAATTTCTTCAAATTATCATAATACATATAATAAATGTATATCAAAATTGGAACAAAATACCTTAAAATAAAATATCTTCACCCCAGTTCGTCTAGGTAGCATAGGACTGAAAAGAAGGTGGGTTGGAAGGTTTGATCCAGTTGCTTCATCTTCCATTTTACTGCTTTTGTCTGAGGTTCCCTAGGAGCTGAGGAGAACCTAGCTGGGAATGGCATTTGAAGGACCTGTGATTAGAAGAAAGGTATGTGGGGATATTCCAACTTCATCCTTAAAGTGGTATTTGGACTTTTTGTATTAGCAAGCAACCCTGGGAGGTACATCTTTGTCCACACCTTAAAGTGATGTAGTTTTTATTAAATGAGCCCTTATTATCCAGCTGAGACTGGTGACACTTAAGGAGCAGTGCTTTAACCCTTTGCACTCCGAACCATTCTGGACATTGGCTACCAGTGTCCCCTCAGAGGGGACAGCGGAGTGCAAAGGGTTAATTAGGTAGGGGTAGGAGGGGAGAGAAGGGCATTAGTGTCCAGGTATAGGGCACTGGGTGGCATTTCTAATGGCTGTAAGAGGGCAGGGGAGGCAGAGAGTTGCTCAAAGAAAGGGCAAGGCTTTGGGGGAAGAGATTCACATAGTGGGGGTTATTTCGTGAATTCTGGGAAGAATGGTAAACAGCAAATACTCTTAAATGCTTTGCAAGGAGCCTGCTGATGATTAAAGTTTACCTTGGACCATGGCAGTTGTTATATTTTCTCTAACTGTCACCTTAAAAATAACTGGAATATGTAAAGAAAGGTGTGGACTTCCTTATATCTATATATACCTGAAAATAATCTATTTTTATGCTTTTATTGTTATAGTTAAGATTATATTAGCTTCATAAAATAGCCTTTCACTGTGGAATGGTTTTTCCACAGGTATTTCAAGGTATTTGGTTTTTCAAGGTATTTCGTGAAGGTTAGTTCAAACTTGCCTCTAAAATTTTTTTTTTTTCAAAAAATAATTTTTCTTGTTATCTTTTAATGGGTTCCCTCCCCCAATAATTTCTGTCATTTTTTAAAGTGCCTTTATAAAAGATAATTTTGCAAATTTGTAGTGAGGCAGAAATACATCACTTTTCTCTAAGATTCTCCCCCCTTGTTGCATAGAATTATGTGTAACATTTTCTTAAGCAGAAATTCTAAAGATATTAGTAAGTTGTACCTAGCTGTGTAGTAAAAGAAAAAAAATAACATGCATATCTGAAGTGCCTTTTTTACATACATCCTAGGATTTATATTAGGAATCATATCACTATAATTCACTATGTTTATGAAAGGAGAAACACAGGGTTATCTCCATAGGTGCTAAAAGCTGCTGAAAAAATTTAGCGGCCATTCCTAATAAAAATTTTAAGTCAAATAGGAATAGAAGGAAACTGCCGACACATGGTGAAGACTATTTACCAAAATACAACAAACAAATCTATTAAATTATGAGCTAACAAAACCATCACTGAAAATCAGGGAAAGTAGAAAAATTTCTGTCTCAACTATTACATAATTAGATTTATTTGGTTTGGGCTAATACTGTAAGACTAGATTATTTCTAGAAGGCAGAGATCTAGAAAATATAAGCGAGTCATCTGAAAGACAGCACTAGTTTTTTTTTTTTAAATGGGGCAGAGTGGCTCAGTACAGAAAAGACAAGTCATTTTACTTTTGTAATAAACGAAGAATGGGAGCAAGACAACAGAATGTATTCTTGTCTTACTATATTCAATTTTTGCACTAATATGCTTTTAAAATGAAGAGCTTGTCATTTTTTTAAAGCTCAATAAAAAGATGTACAACATGTCAGTTTCAAGAACATAATGAAGATTAAGTGAGATAAAACACTGTAAATTTTTTGGGAAAATTATCATGCTTACCTGCACAGCATATTGCGTGAGGAATAGTGGAGAATGAGAACAGCAGCTGCAGTTTCTCACAGGAATTGGTAGTGAGAAATGGCCACTTCACACTGGGTTCACAGATGGCTGGTTCAATGTGGTGGCTTGACCACACGCTTTTCTCTTCCTACAATCTGCCATAATCACAAAGGAAGCATAAAAGATGTTAACTCATAAGGAAAAAATAATAGAGGAGACAGTGACAAAAGATGCTACCAATCTTTTAGAAAATAGTGACTAGAGGAGTGTGACTGAATTCGGGGAGGATGCAGCCCCGTGCCTTATGGACGATCATAAAGAGGAGGCCTGGGCACATCTGGCCAGGCTTCAGAGTGTGTGGAGGCTCCAGCTGTTTCCAGAGGGCAGGTTTAATACTGAAAAACGGAAATTCCCTAAAGGTTTGTGTCCCTTTGGACCATCTTCTGCCTCTGTAGCAGACAGGTGATGATTCAGTTCCCCTCTTCCTGGGGAGACGGAGAAGGCTGGAACCAGTGGCCTCCAGACTGCAGGGGTGAGGCATGGGCCTGTGAATACAGGGCTCACATGCAAGTCTACACATCAAAGTGCAGGCGCCTCCTTTTTCCCTCTTCTTCCACGCCTCCCCAAAGCCAGCAGCTAGACGTGGTGTTCCCTCGCCACCCTACCCTGCACTTCTTTTTCTGGCACAGAGGAACAGCTTCAGTGGAGACCTCTATGTGCTGACTGTGGGAGGCCTCCCCTTGGCAAAGGTGACCGGGCATATCTGGTCACTGTATGGAGAAGCCCCGCCATCAGCGAGCCGGCTGCCCACTCCTAGCTTTTGAGTGCTTTTTCAGTACTCCAGTCTGAAGTGTGGAGGCTTACATCAGGGTCAGCAGAAGTGTGGGGCAAGCCTCAGAAGTAAAAGGTTGGGAGGCCCAAAACAATCAGCAAATAAACAAAAGGATTAAATGATACAAGAAACACAAGGAAACTAAAGTGCAAAATCAGCCAGAGAAAGAGTGAAAGATGTCAAATTCCTTTCCCCCCTACCCCCAAATGACAGTACTAGGAATAGTACTGAGAACAACAGGAGCTTTTGGAAATTTAAAAATGGTAGTTGGGGTGGGAGGGGAATTCCATGAACAGATGAGTATGAAATTAAGTATTGGGGCAAGACACTGTCATTTTTGCATCTGAATTTATTTAACTTAGAAGTATGAATACTTAGTACTCACTTTTCACTCTGTGTATTTGCCATGTTAGATTGAACATAGGAAAATGTTCATTAAGTTGGGTTTTTATAACTCTTGGTTGTTTGTGAACAAATAACGCCCCCTTGGAACTTCAGAGCTTTGGGTTTAAGCTGGGTGTTCTGAGCTGACAGTGTGTTACTTAATGTTCACAGCCTTTGTCAAAATCTGTAGAAGCCACCGCAGTGTTTTTCATGGATGGGGCATGCTATGGAGTTTGGGGCCCCTGTTTAAACCCAGCTTGATCGCCAGACTTGTGGGACTGCTCTCATATCTGAGTCTCGTTTTACTCTTGTCATCGGGAAGGGTGACACTAGTACCTGTCTCATAGGGCGATGATGAGGATGAAAAGAGAAAATCTGAGAATCACCTTATGCAGTGTATAGCATGTGCTAAGTGCCCAATGAAAGGAGCTGCTGCCATAATCATCAGAGAGAGAGAGATGAGTCTGTGCAGAGAAGAAAAATATGAAGTGCGGTGTATAGTGGGCTGTCCTGAGCTACTGGCCAGCTACCGAAAGCTTGTTACAAGAGCCTTTCATCCGTATTCCCCAGTGCTCATTGTGGTACCTGGCACTGGACCCTGCACGGAGGAGTGCTTAGACCCCTCTGTTGTAACTTTGATTTGTAGGCTGTCTCTCCCCTTTTAGCAGTCTTGTGATCATTAAAGACAGAGAGTGCGTTAATAAGTAGAGAGGAGTGAAGTTTTTGTAAACTTAAATGTTGTATTTCAATTGCAGGCGTCCCTTAGCAAGATAAAAGTACAGAACCATGGCTCAGTTTCCAGCACCTTTTGGTGGTAAGTGTCAGTCATTTTCCTTTTTTTAAAATGTACTATAATCACTTTTTAAAAACCAGTATTATGGCTAATTTAATATATATGCAAACGTGGAGAGCCTGATAAAACCAACCTATCCTCTGTGTGCCCCTCCTGTGCTTATTGTTTCATCTGGATTCTTTCGAAGCACCTTGCAGGCATCCTATCATTTTTTTTTAAATGTACCATTTTATCCACAAATATGTTAGGATGTGTTTCTAAAATATAACACTTTTAAAGACTCAGTTACAATACCATTATCACACCTGCAAAATTGACGTGACCTCTTAGTGTCTGCAAATGATTGTTAAAATTTCCCTCATAATCTTTAGGATTTTTAAAATTTTTTTTTGGTCAAAGCAGGATGCAAATAAGATATAGACATTGTAGTTCGTTCTCATGTTCCCAGCCTCTTCGTTAGGGATCTCCCTGTCCACCCTGCTCTTTCTTTGCAATTTGTTTGTTGAAGTTACTGAGTAATTTACATTTTTTCTGAAGCCTGGATTTAAAGCATGACACTTGTTTTTCTTTAGTTTGTTGCTTGAAACATGTCAATCTGCAAAAAAAAGTGCTTTTTAGGGTATTTCACCTAACATCTTAGGAAGGCATTCAATGCCAGTTTTACTTACTGGCCATCTTCCTGCCGTGTTACACGAGTGTGCCCGGGGACTCCTCTTGGTGGCTAATTCAGTCATGGTGAATCGAGTAAGAGGCACGAGGCACAGCCCCTCTGCTAACATCTGTAGAGTCCCCTGGGATCCTAGTAGAGTAGCCTGCATACTCACCAAAACCATTTTCTTTATGGTTTTGTTTTCATCCCCCCTACTTACTGGACAGTTGCTTTTGGTTTTGCTTTTATTTATAGTTTCAGGGATAAATTCTGACAGCAATCAAAATCCCTTGTCTATGTTGCAGGAGTGTGAGGCCTGTGAAGGTTGTCTCTAATGTCTAATGCAGTGCCCAGCACGGAGGAGATAGCAGTGAATATGTTCCCAGTGATGGAACGAATCGCCACTTTGTCTCCGAGCCTGGAGAGAAGGGGATGAGATGTTTAGACATTTTGTTTTCATGCTAGGCACTTGCACATTTTGTGTGAAACTTACATATTGCCTCTTCCCACTTTTTTGGGAAGTGTCTTTGCTTTTGAAATCCTGTGCAATGTACATTCATGTCAGTGAACTTGTTTGAGGAGGCCTTGGGGCCAAGAGAGGAAGGCCCCAGAAGTGGGGGGACATCTGGTCTTAGAGTTGAAATGGAAGGAGAAAACCTAAATCCCATTCTCTTTGGTTTGCCTCATTTTCTTCTCCATGATGCCCACTTGTCAAAACAGCTTTAGAGAAGTATAATTGACGTATCATAAAATTCACTAGTTTTAACTGTACGATTCAGTGGTATTTAGTAAATTTGCAGAGTTGTGCAACTCTCCAATATTTGAATGTTTCCATCACTGCAAAGTGACTTTCATATGACGCTTAGCTTCTTTTGCGACTTTCACCTGTGACATTTAAGCCATCTGAGATGCAGTTTTGAATTAGTCTGTTGCTTAACTTTGTGTAAATAAATGATTATTAACTTGCTATGTCTCCACACCCTCTGGCTAACTATAGGATTATAAGTTTTTATGAAAGAATTTGTGCCAATTTCTCACTTCTTCTTGAACTGCTTTTCTCTTAATTTTCTGTTTGCCTAACTTCCATGGACAAACATGTTAATTCATTATATGATTTATAATTTATAATACACTGAATCTTAAAATGCTTTGGAAATAATGTGTGCAGGTGCTTTTTCTTTTCTCACTAAACAGTTTGTTTCTTTTCTTGGATTGCAGGTAGCCTGGATATCTGGGCCATAACTGTAGAGGAAAGAGCAAAGCATGATCAACAATTCCATAGTTTAAAGCCGATTTCAGGATTTATTACTGGTAATTGGAGTCAATATTTTTAATTTTCCTTATCAATGGTGCATATATCTATAGAAAATTTATTATGCCAAGCTAAGCTAGGCATAACCAAAGGGACATTTACTGACGTTGCTGTGGCCTTGAGTCTGTATTTCTGCAGTTGCTTTCCCAGAATGCATTCAAGCCTTGTGGGTAGCAGGCCTCTTGCTTCAGGCATGTCACTGATGGGACTTGGTTAACATCAGTTCTTTAAGTTATGTAGAATTGGCCTCTGGTCCTTAAGCAAAAACATTTGCCTAATTTTGGTTTTGCACCAGTTTGGAAAACTTAAATAATGAACAAATTTTGATAATTTAAAAAGAGGAGTTTTCTTATTGCTGTGTCCCCAGCTTTCCTTGGTGTTTTGTGTGTGTGTGTGTGTGTGTGTGTGTGTGTGTGTGTGTGTGTGTTTGTTTGTTTGTTTTGCTTTTCTGCTAGTCTTTCCTGTTTGATTACTCTTCAAGGAATTAGAAAAAAGGGAAGCTAGATTTCAAGGGGACTTGTTTTTTTGTGTGTATGTCTTACGATTCTCGTTAATTTATTAATTTCATAATCATCAATATGATTTTTTAAATCATTGTTACTTATTCTCCTTAAATATATTAAAAGTACTGATAATTTTAAGTGTAGAGATTAGGAATGGCAAAGATTTTTTTTGTTGTTTATAAAGCAGAAGTTAGGGCATCCATTTCCTGAGGATTCCTGTAGATGTGCTTTGTCATAATGTGTAACTGTGACTGCCTTAATTAACGACAGAGTAATTAAAGTTGGCAATCCACCTCTGCAAATGATAGGCCTCTTTTGGGAATATTTTTTAAGTGTTAAGTGCTAAGGTCAATGCTGGTGGTTTCATTTTGCTTACAGACTTAGCATTTTACTTACAGACTGAGCATTTAGCTTTTTTCATGTATTCAATTCAGTTTTTGTGGGATCACCTACCTCTTCATTTTTCTAATTTTGTCATAAGAGGAGGGATTGGGGTCAAAATAAGGGGGTTTCAATTGTATGGGGAATATAAAAATAAAATTTAAAAAAAAAAAAAAGAGGATTTCTGTCAGCTGTAACTTTCTTCTGAAACTTTCTCCATTAAATTTACAGGTGATCAAGCTCGAAACTTTTTTTTTCAATCGGGGTTACCTCAGCCTGTTTTAGCACAGATATGGTAAGTTGGAACTTCATAGAAGCCAAAGGTAAAAATAGAAGATTCCAGTAAAATTATTTCTTAAAATATAGAGAACATGTATTTCTGATGTGAAACATTGTGCTACTTCTTACCAGAGAAATGCTTCTGAAAAGTATCTAATATGGAACTTAAGAAAACACTGGAGCAAGGCAACACTGCCAAAATGTTGAATTTCCAGTGGAGAAATTTGTATTTTGATACTTTCATACCAGTGTGTCTTTACTTCATCCACCTCACCCATACTCATCTGAATGTCCTTTATTTCTGGCTTAATATTGTAGTGGTTCTGTAATTCCACTGAATAAAAGGTTAAAAAAAAAAAAAAGTTGAGGGTTCCAGTGAACTAACCACGGTTTATTACAGTCTTATATAAGGTAGAATGCATAGTGAATATTGTTAAATTCCTTGATTAACTCTCTCACATAAAGGCTCAGAAATCTTTTGAAACTGAAGGAAAGAAAGAGAATGAGTAAAAAAGGGTGGGAAATACAGCTTGGACTGTAGATTCACACTGAATTCTGTTGTCAAAAAGCCGTATTTCCCGCGTTGCTTGGTTCTGGCAGTTTTTGCTGGATTTCCCTGGGCTTGTTGCTGGTGTAAACTCTGCCACTGTAGTAGAAAAAGCATGTGCTCTGAGCCTGAATACCGGATTCAAACTTGCCTATCTTTATGATTTGGAAACATGTATTTATCCTCTCTAACCTCAGTTTTGTAATCTAGAAGTGGAAAGACTTGTCCTTTTCTCAGAAGGCGCTGAGAGGATTGGCAGAGAAACTAAAAGGCAGAGAGACAGGAAGAGAGTGCACTTGTGCACATGTGAGCACAGGCTCACTGACCCGTCAGTTAAGTGCCCGAGTGTCAATGAAGAGACTCGTGACATCTGTGTTACTTGTGACAAGCTTCTTTGCTTTGTGTTCTGGTAAATGATTGTCTTTCACACCACCCATCAAGTGAAGGCACTGGGATCATCCTTTCCCAGGATTAACTTCTTCCACTGAATGCTGCTTTTTTGCTGTGGTCCCAATTTTTGAAGGTTCATTCAAGAAGCAGTCTTTTTGACAAGTACTGTGCTGCGACTAGGGAATTATCTTTATCAAGTGTCTGCCTGGGGGTCAGTGACTGCTGTCGATACTGGAGATACACAGTGAGCAGACAGAATCTGTGCTTCCTCGCAGGTGCAGACACATCTAGTGGAGGATGGTTAATAGTATGAAAATTGCTACCTGGTAAAGTGTATAAAGGAGTGAAAAGAAGGATTAACTAGTTAATTTTACTTTTTTCATTGACGGTTATTAGTTGTCCAAACTGCTTTTAGCTAGGTATAGGGAAGTCACTTTTCTTACCTGATGTTTTTAATCTTGAAAATGTTTATTAACAATAAAGATGATGAATTGACAGGTTGAATTAAAAATGGGTGTGTTTCGTCTTTAATTTTTTGTGACATTTTGTTAAATAAATTTGTGACATCATACCTTTATTAAGAATTGCTATTAGGGGAGAAATAAAATGCCTGTAACGTATCTTTTCCCAAAAAAAGTCTTTGAAGAGCAACGGTGCTGCCCTGTGATCGTGCAGCGCCAGAGGATGCCTGCCTTCAGCACCAGCCCTGGCCCTACAGTTCCACATAGTCATTGCCCAAGGCGATGCTCCACCACTACATATTTTGTTTTTTAATTTCTAAATTATAACAGCTGGCCTGATGAAATAGTTTTTCCTCCCGATCACTCTTGCTAATCTTGTTTTCTCATGGGGATTTTCCTGGTGGGGTCACAGCGAAGGCCCACGCCCCTTTTGGTGGCGAGAGGACTGGGTTTCAGTCTGAGGTTGTATGTATTCGTGGTGTCTCTCATCCAGGGGAAAAGAGGATTTGGGACTAAGTGATGTGTACTGCTGGGGAGTATATGTTGGAAATCTTTATAGTTTTTTTTTTTCCCTGTAGAAACTGTATTCCAGCTGTAACCTACTAATACTTAGAGCCTACTTATCTTTCCAATCAGGGCTACTACCCAACCCAAATTCAAATTAAAAATACCAGAAATCCTGAATTCTCAGAGAATGGAGTCAAGCCAGTGTGTATAATGCCAAATTAACACAGTGGCCAAAGATGATACACGTCTTCCTAGAAACTGTCTGACTAAGAAGGAACTGGAAGGAAACAGGCAAATACCGTAAATCCTTTTGGCAACTTAATGCTTAAAATTGCTTCAGCCTTGCCTGGGTGTGGAGAGGGAGGAGAAGGAAGCAGAGGGAGTGGACGAGAGCCTTGAAGGTACAGGAGAGAAAAAGGCGTAGAACAAGGCTTTGGGATCAGGCTGTAGGGGCCACAGAAAAGGAGCTTGAAGACTGAAGAGAGCGGAGGGGAAAAGAGGGAGCTCTGTCTGGAAATGGGCCCCTTGATCCTATGATACATGGAGGATAGTTGCAACATCGCTGCACTCACACCTGCCACCAGTGCCAGTTCAAGATTACTTCATGGTTTTTGTGTACAGACTGAGGAGATATAAAGTGCTCTGTTCAGAAGTGACGGATTAGTATTCTTTCCTCCTTTTTTTTTTTTTTTAAAGATTTATTTATTTATTTATACAAGCACTGGGTACAGTCAGAAGCATGGGAGGGTGAGAGAAATCACCAGAGCCAGAGCAGGGAGCAGAACAGGCAGACTGACGAAGTACACTGCTGAGGGGAGCAGCAGGCGGGGCAGGAGAGGTCTGCTGTGCCATGTGGGACCCTCGCCGGCGGCCGTGGATCTAACTGGCGCTGCAGAGGCTGCAGGCAGCTTCACAGCCCAGAGCTCAACCGCTGCGCCACCGGAGGCCCTTCTTTCCTCCTCTTAATGTGGACATGTTATTTATTTAAATTACTAGGTTTGTTTTTTGTCATTATTCAGTTTAGGAATCTCTCATCTTTGTGGACTTAATTTTATTTTTCGAATACGTAGCACATAAACAGGGTCCCAGAAATCAAAACTGTACAAAAAAGTGAATTTGAAGACATGCCCACTCCTTCTCCTGTCCCTTCACTGCAGCCCTGCCTCCTGGATCAGTCTTTTACTAGCCTCTGACAACATGAGGGTATATGCCAGTCAAGAAATTCTCTCCATTGTATCTGCAGAAAAAGGGGGAAAAAAACTGTGGCCAGATCAGCAAATGCTGATTAGGCACTTGATAAAAAATGTAGTAATCATTTCTAATAAGCAGAAAAGGGAACTGCTTAAATAGATCAGGCTGCTTTCTGAAAATCACTACCGGTTGTCTCCTAAACAGTGATTCTGCAGTCACTTCACTTACACTCCTAACCAAGCCCGCCTACCCGTAGCAATATCTTAATATCTTGGAGTAAGATTACTAAAAAAGAGGAATAAATAATGGACAGTTATCTATCTTTTATTTTGCTAGTTATATGATTGTGTACTTACCAAAACCTACAAGATTTTTATTTAAAAAACCAGTAAGATTTCTCCAAGTTTGGTAAGATAACCAAATACAGCAGAAATATTTATTCAAAGCCAAAATTCTCAATATCCTTGGACTAGGCACCTAAATAAGGAAATGGGGGGCTGTTCCATTTAAAATAGTGAGCAAAATGATAAAATTCCTAATATTTGAATAAACTTTCCAAAAAAAGTAATTATATTAAGAAACTTATAATCTCACTAATGGAAGTATTAGCAGAACTGAACAAATGGAAAGCCATTTCATTTTTCTTTGGGGGACAAATGATCATAAATATGTCAATTTTCATAAATTAACATATCTAGTGAGTTTCAACTTAGATTGAAATAATCAAGAAATGATTTTAAAGATCATAGAAAAAGAGAAACTTCTTTGAATAGCCAAACAAAGTGGAATTAAAAAAAGAAAAAAAGCCTTGCCAGATAAGGAACATGCCGTAGAGCAGTATGATGAGCCAGGGTCGGATGGACCTGTAAATTGTTCAGTCCGAGTAGATAATTCAGAATTAGCTCTAACATCATATTTAGTGATCTCACATCATTTAGCAAACAACACAAATATTTTTCAGATCAGTGAGAAGAAGATGAATTATTTAATCTTACTGGGAAAGCTAGGAATCTATCTAGAAGAAATATGGTTGAATCCTGGAGTTATGTACTACACATACACACACATTTGCAGTTGGTTTCATGATTGAAAGTTTATTAAAAAAATCAATCTTAGAAAATAAAGAACTGGGTGTATAGACTATGTGGTAAATATTTTATATATAGCAATGTATAATTTCTATACAGTAAAAGATATTTGATACAAAATGAACAAATGATAAAGTATTAAATCTTTTCACCATTTACCATAAACAGTTAATATGAAATATACAATGAGCTCTTATAAACTGACAAGAAAAAGACATGCAATCCATCAGAAAACTTGGCATAGGATACTAATGAGCAATTCATAGAAATACGAAGCCAAATTACTAAGAAACATGGAAAGTGGTACTCAGGCTCACTGGGTAAGTGGAGTTCAGATTCTACTGATGTGGTCTGCTGATGTGGTCTGCTGACTTAAGGGGATTCCTGACTGTAGGGACCTGGAGTGCTCCTATCTGAGAGGTTAAAAGGAGGTTCTGGTAGCCATAGAGTTCCATTTCCTGTTTATGACCTTTATTTGTGAAAGAATAGTGTTGACTCTTACAATTTTATCATTTTTAATTTTTGTTGTGCAGTGTATCTTTTGTTTTGTTTCCTTAACAATGTAAGACTTATTTTCTATGAAACCCAGTTCTCTGCTTTGGGTACTGCATGTGGCTCATTTAGAAGGTTGCTAGTCAAGGCATTTTAATTGGAGTAGCTGGTCTGATCAATTGATGTTTCAAATATAATGTTTAGGTTTAAAAAGTAGATCCTTATGCTGTTTACTGTCTGGATGACAAGAAATTAAATCTGAAAAAACAAATAGTAAACACATTTGTAAGCGGACTTAATTTTAACAGCTTTCGGAGTCTATCAAGAGTAGCATAGTAAGAGCATGTCCTGCCCGGACAGGGTTGTTGTCCCGGTGGAGTTCATGCAATTAACCAAATGTCCTAGTCATATTCTGTTTCTGACAGCTTTATCATGATGTCAAAAATTCACCCTTTCAAAGTGTATTGATTGTCAATCTGTTCAGAATTGTGTGAGCAGTCTTACACTTGGACTGAAAATAACCTTATGTATCTTTAGGTGAAGAATGACACAATGAAAAGGATTCATATTTAAATAAAACCTTGTGCCTTTTCCCAGGTCACTTCCTATAGCTTGGTAAACAAGTCTTGCTTGGTTCTTTTCTCCCCCCAGAGAAAGGGAGCCACTGTCAGCTTTGCCTGGGCAGTTTTGGGATGTGGGACAGTCCTGCTAAGTCCATGCATTGTTTGCAGGGCGCTCGCTGACATGAATAATGATGGCAGAATGGATCAGGTGGAGTTTTCCATAGCCATGAAACTCATCAAACTGAAGCTCCAGGGATATCAACTCCCCTCTGTACTTCCCCCCATCATGAAACAGCAGCCCGTTGCTATTTCTAGCACACCAGCATTTGGTAAGTCTCAAAAGGAATTGGTTCCTGTATTTCATTGTATATTTAAAAAATATTTCCCCTTTTTTTCCCCTTCCCCTGTTTCTCATATTGTGAAATGCTGGAAGATAACTCTGTCTGCAAAAAGACGGTCCCCTGCAGGAAGGTAGTGCCGGAGGATAGGGGTCTGTTCATATTCTAACCCTAAGATGAAAGCGAAAAGGCAAGATGAAGGCAAAGGTCTGTCAGTTTGGGAAGAACAAAGTTGCGGCCTGCTGCTGCACCTTGTTCTTCTTGCTCTTGTTGGATTCTTACTCCTGCACGTCATCATGGAAATAAAAACCATGGGGTTTTCATTTCATACAAATGAAATGGAAGAATATGAAATGAAAACTCTATGTATGTGCCACCTTTATTTCTACTTGTGCATAAGCAACTCCTTTGGATTAGGAGATGTAGAAATGTATTTTTTTATTTACAGTATTGAAACAGTTGGCCACATTCAATTCTTCGATTAAACGAATTAGTGTAGGAAAAAACACATTTTTATTCCAGTAAAACATATCATTCCATAAAAATTTATCTTCCAGCCAAGTGATTTTTCCAAAAATTAATCAGTAATTAATTGACTGAGGTCTCCAATAGTTCTGATTTCTTCCCTGTTCTCACCCTAGACTTTAATTATTCAGGCTGGTTTGAAGATCACAGTAATTGGATCCAACATCTGATTCATGGGGAAGTTCTTAGTTTAAACAAAGCACAAGAATCATGGATAATGTTGCTTTCCTTCTCCTCGTCCTGATGTATCCGATGACAGATGCCTTGGGACGGCAGTCGGTAGTTTTTCACATTGTCTTGCATACAGTCAGTGATAAGCCCACAACATTAATAAATGCTCTGGTTTGATTTAATAGATTTACTGTTCAAAACACACAAACTATGCCTTGTTCCCTCTTGTTGAACTTTATCTTCTATGGGTTTTAGAACCCCGGGTTTGGGATGAGGCAAATAGGAGAGTGATCCAAGAGAAAAGGGGGAATCTCCAAAAATCATGGCGGAGCAACTCTAGGCTGGAAGAGCAGCCGTGACCAGGTCCCCATCCGTCTGTCTGCGGTAGCCCTTGGCCACCTCACCTACTGAAAGAGAAGTCACACTGTCTTCTTGATAAGGACCCATGTGTTAAAACAGCTAAAGGGTGTTCGGTTTTCTTTGGCCTCCTGCAAGAAGAAACTGTGGGGGTGGAGAGAGGGTGAGCAACCAGGTCACTCCACTTCCTCTTTTGCCCTCAAGCCTGGTGTCAGTAACGCTCCCTCCTACATTCACTGTGTCTCCTCTTCTTCCATTCTTCTCCGGGAATCTGAACACTAGACATCTTGCTGGCTTATTTTCAGAATGGTGTGACCTCATTGCCCACCACGTTTTTCAATCACTTCTGTAACCTGTGACTGCCACTGGGGGATCTGGGGTTTCTGACCCAGCGATCTGCCAGTCAGTCCACTGTGCTCCACTGCCTCTCCTTACCTCATTCTCCTCACATCAGTGCAGGATCTCAGGAGACTTTTTTCAAAAAGATAAACCAAGAAGGAATATTAAAGGAGCTAAAAGTGCATGGTCCTAATCACACTTGCCCAAGTTCATGCGAAGGTGTGGCTGTTGCTAGTATTTCTGTTTCTCCGTCTCAGCTCAAGGGTGGGTCGTTTTTCTTCAGTCCTTTGAGAACAAAATAATTAATTTATTATGATTATCGCAGACTTTCTCATTAATATTAAAAGTGAACTGACTTGGCCTTTTCCAGCCCTCCCCAGTAGCCTGCAGCACTTGTAGTATTTTATTTGGACACAAGAACAGCCCTGAAAGTATGCTGAAATTATCACCTCTGTTATGTAAATGAGAGAGCCTAGATTCCAAGAAGTTGAGCAATTTGCTTAAGATTACATTTCTAAAAGTGCAGGTGGAGCCTGTCCAAACCCACAGTTTTTTCCTGAAGGTTCTGTTTCCTTATCTCCATTTCTGTCTAATGAAGGTGGACTTTGTTGTCGCCAAGCCATGCAAGGGCCATGCAGGACTCTTCTGGGGTGTGTTAATGTATATGTTAGCACTCTGCAGTCATGGCCGGCTGGGAGTTGGGCAGTCGTCGTGTTGAACTCCCTGTGTTAAGAGAAAAATGGGGTACAGTGGCATAGTGACTTGCCCAGGGGCACCCTGCTGTATTCTGGGGAACTCGGTATCTGTCTTCAGTGCGCTTGCACACAGAATAATTCTTTTACTCTGGATCCAACTATTTTGGGGGAGTTTATTTTTTTATTTGATTTTTTTGATTGATATTTTGCTTGATGTTTTTGTTGTTGTTTTGGGCAGAATCCATGATTTTATTACATTTTAGACCATATTTTGAAGACCCTACTGTATGTTCTAGTTGCTGGGGATGCAGTGGTGAGCGAGACATGGCTCCTGCCATGATGGACCTTCTTGTAATGTTGGGTGAAGCAGCAAATAGATAAATCATTCAAGGGGGAGAAAAGTGCAGTCAATTCCATAAATGGGGTAATATGATAGACACCCCCCCCCATCCCCCATGGGACATGGTGATCAGGATGAATTCTCTGAGAACATGCCTTTTGAGCTTACTTAGATGAGAGCCATTTGAAGATCTGGGGAGGCTTCCTTTTGGCATAGGACTTGACTCTGAGAAGTGACTGGGAGTGGAATAAAAATTGAGCAGGGCAGCTACCTAGAGACTAAAGAAAAAGTCATAGCCTAACCAAAGTGGGGGAGGAGAATGGTAGCTGGAAATCCCAGGAAGTAAGACTCACACAAGAATGAGCAACAGGCAGTTTCAGGCAAGGTCAAATCCCACGCAAAGTTATTATTAGGAAAAAGAGGATAAAGAATAACAGCCCTATGGACAATGACAGTGGGCCAGTCATCCGCCATTTCATCGCGAGCTGAAAGATACTGAGAATGCTACAAATCATGAAAAGCCAACATAAATCAGAATTTTAAAATCTCAGCAATAAAGAGCCAGAACTCAGAGAACAATGAGAAATAAAAGAAAAAGTCACTTCAGAAATGAAGACTAGCCTAGAAGCTGCTCAAGAGATACTGTCAGAAGAGAAATAGAAATAGTAAAAAGAGGAAGAGTTCAAAATTTAAAAGGAATTGAAAACAAGATACAAAAAGGATTTAAGAAAAGTGATAATATTGAAGAGAACAAAGATTAAATATATAGTTAGTTGGAGTCCTTGAAAAAGAAAACCAAAGTAGGGCCATATGCTAAGAACTAATTCAAGGCAACTTTCTTGAAATAAAAGAATTTAAAGCTATAATATTTGAAAGAGTATATTGTACATGAAAATATAGACTTGGAAAATCAACACTAAGGTGTATATTCTAGCAAAACAAAAATTATTTGGACATGTAGAAAAAGAAAGTATATGGTTTATAAGGAAAAAATTAGATTATCTTTAGAATTTTTTACAGCAGCACTTAGAGCCAGAAGAAAATGGAATAACATATTTAGGATTTTCAAGGAAAGGATGAACCAAGAAAACCACATCAGCCAACTTTCACACTCTCTGGACATTTAGTATCTTAAATTCAGTTTTGACACTAACTGCCTGGCATTAGCGTCAGACTCCACAGATTTAAGGACTCAGTCCCACAAGATTGCCCTCAGCTCAGACTTGAGTCACAAGTAATGGGCCCCTTGGGTACTCATAACTTTTGTCCAATCCGTACAAAGTCAGTGGTTCCTATAATTTTCTGGAAGAGGTCACAAAATTCAGGGAAACACTTATGTTTACTGGTTTGTTATACAGGATACAGATGAACAGTCAGGTGAAGAAGCATGTAGCTTAAGGTTCTAAAGGATCCAGAGTGCAGGCACTTTTGATCCCATAAGGTTGGGGTACACTACCATCCCCATATGCAGATGTGTTCATCAACTTGGAAGCTCTTCAAACCCTCTAGTGCAGGAGGTTCCATTACATAGACACGATTGATTACCTCATAGCTATTGGGTGATTAGCTCAATCTTCAAGCCCTCTACCCTCCCCTGAGGTTTGTGTGGAGGTGAGGCTAGGGCAGAGCTGAAAGTTTTAACCCTCCAATTATTCCTCAGTCTTTCCTGTGACTAGCTCCTAAGGGTGACTAGCTCCTGAAGCCACCTAGGGGTCTCCAGCCACCTCATTAATATACAAAAAGACACTTTTTTCATCCCAGGGGGTCTTAGAAGCTCTTTTGTTAGGAACCGGGGACCAGGACCAAAAACTATGATAAAAGATGTTCCTATCACTCAGGGAATTACCAGGTCTTCCCCCAACCTCCTTCAGCTATTTATTTAAAAATATTTTCTGTTTCTGCGGAGCACTGAATTGTAGAATTTAAAATGTTTTATCCTTTCTTCCTCTCTTCCCACTTACCCTCAGAAAACTCATTTTATTAGTGTTAACTAATTTTTATCAGTATTTTGCTTTGCTGAATCATCTATGTAAACATCTAATATTGGTCATTCTGACATGCTTTACTACACATCCCCTTGAACTGCTTCCATTTGGCTGTAGTGGGTAACATTTTATTGTTCCTATGGCTGAATAATATTCCATTTTGTGGATAGACCACATCTTCTTGATTCAGTCTTGTATTAGTGGACACTAAGATTGTTTTTAAGTCTGAGTTATTTTAAATAATGCTGCAAGACACATTGTAATGCATAAAATTTTTTGAGTGGGATGGTTTTATGTTATTTGGATAGATGCTCAAAGTGGGATTGCTGGATCACAGGGTCTTTCCATTTTTACTTTTATAAGGTAAATCCAGATCACTTTACAAAATGGCCATACCAGTTTACAGTAGAACCATGTGTTAAGTTTCCTCTTTCTCCACATCCTCTCCAGACATTTACCTGTGCCCTTACTCCTGTAGTTTTCTAATGCTGTGTGCTCTGTCTTGCATGCTGATTCTTTGCAACTTCTTCTCAGGTGTAGTTCCTAGATTTTATTTTATTTTATTTTAAGATTTATTTATTTATACAAGCACTGGGTACAGTCGGAAGCACAGGAGGGTAAGAGAATTCACCAGAGCCAGAGCGGGGAGCAGAACAGACAGACTGACAAAATACACTGCTGAGGGAAGCAACGGGTGTGGCAGGAGAGGTCTGCTGTGCCATGTGGGTTTCTCACCGGCGGCCGGGGATCGAACCGGCACTGCAGAGGGCAGCTTCACAGCCCAGCGCTCAATCGCTGCACCACTGGGGAGATCCAGTTCTCAGATTTTAAAGTCCCCAATGTGGGCTTGTTGTGCTTTTGAGTTAACAGCCACAGCTGCCCCTCCTTCTCACAGGTTTTACTGTCCCCAGCATTGTTCCAAATTCACTTTGCAGTTTTTCCTATACTTTTCCAACATGACTTTGCTCTTGATCATGCAATCATCTGTTTGTTATTTAGGGGTTGCTGTCTTTGTTTAACTGTAATTCTGATAAATATGCAGAGGAGGCAAATCAGGCATCTTCACTCCCAATATCTTACTTGTCTCCCCAGAAAATTACCTGACTTTTAAGAGCTCTGTGTTACAAACCAGGAATCAGGGATAAGGACCATATATATATATATATATATATATATATATATATATATGTATCTTCTTGTATCACAATATCACAAGTTGGGACAGAAAAAATAGAGGAATCATTTCTTTTAGCTCTGTCATTTCTTCATTTGTTGGTTAGAATACTTCAGCAAAGAAAACCTTTCCTGTTAAATGTTTGGTTACTCTTGTGTTTAGTAGGCAGAGGAAAGGTAGATTCAATATTTGATTTATTTCTCCCTTTATTTGCTAGTTTTCAAAAAATTAATTTATTACTTATGGTGACAAATTAGGATTTTTTATTTGTTTTCAAATGTCATTATGACTATGTGAATTTAATTCTGTTTGCTGACTTCAGACCAGAACAGTTTGTTTTATTTTAAAGATTTATTTATTTATGCATACAAGAACTGGGGTACAGGCCAGAGGTGTGGGGGTGTGTGTGAGAGGATTCACCAGAGACAGAGTGGGAAACAGAACAGGCAAAATGACTGAAATTCATTGCTGAGGGGAGCAGTGGGCGAGTCAGGAGAGGTCTGTTGCACCATGTGGGTAGCTCCCTGGCCAGGGATCGAACTCGTGCTGCTGTGGCTGCTGATAGCTTCATAGGTTGCGTCTTAACTCTTGCTCCACCAGGGAGACCCCAGAACAGTTATTATTCTTCTTGATCTTCATCTTTGGTCAGTAGATCCCTCCTCACGTTGTGTGTTAAGCCATTTTCAGTGATCTTTGACATACTTTTTGGTACTCTTAAGAATGATTTATCTGGGCCTCCCCTGGTGGCTCAGCAGTTGAGCGCTGGGCTGCGAAGTTGCCCGCAGCCTCTGCAGCACTGGTTCAATCCCTGGCCGCCGGGTGAAGGTCCCACATGGTGCGCAGACCTCTCCTGCCACGCCCACTGCTCCCCTCAGCAGTGTACCTTGGTCCTTCTGCCTGTTCTGCTCCCCACTCTGGCTCTGGTGAATTCTCTCACCCTCCTGCGCTTCTGACTGTACCCAGTGCTTGTATAAATAAATAAATAAATCTTTGGAAGAAAAAAAAAAAACGATTTATCTGAATTCAAATTTTAAAGGGGAATGTTTGATGACTGATTTCTTGTGAATTTTGTTGTTTTTTTTTCTTGCCTAGGGATAGGAGGTATTGCCAGCATGCCACCGCTTACAGCCGTTGCTCCAGTGCCAATGGGATCCATTCCAGTTGTTGGAATGTCTCCACCTCTAGTTTCTTCTGTTCCTACAGCAGCAGTGCCTCCCCTGGCCAATGGGGCTCCCCCTGTTATACAGCCCCTGCCTGCATTTGCTCACCCTGGTACGTGACCTGTTGAAACCCTAGGCCGAATTTTTACAACTTGCATTTTATTCTTTATTATTAAATTTTCTGACTTCACTTTCTGATTATATTTAAATGGTATTTTATTTCAGAGGAAAGTATCTTCATTAATTTCATTTTTCATTTTTTCTCCCAACACATTAAAAGGAATGTGTTAGGTTAGAGAGAGGGAAAGGAGAATGGAATTATGAAACTGGAATTCTGGAACTCTGGACAAAGGTGAAGTTAAATTCAAAACCAAGAGCATATTTTCCTTTCAAGGGCTTGATCAGAGCAAATAAAGTTTGAACAATATTTGCACCTTTTTTATTTTTGTGTATTGGTTACTACTTTTTATTAGTTGTCATGAATTGCTAGTAAGTAAGCCTGTCCCTTAGGAATAGAATTATGTGACTGTGGGAAAAACAAAGAACACGGTATTACTATTTTTTTTTTTTTGAGGAGGTGCAGTGATTCATGCAGAAGGAGAAGGAAATCTATTAAATGACTATAAATTAAGGCTGTAGTATTAACTGCTTGTTTCATTGAGTGAAAGGATTAAAATTTCCTGTTTTCAATAATTTGAATTTGAAACTTTATTCCAAGTCTTTCCTCAAGTTAAAAGAAAGCATGAGCTCTAGATATAAACCGCCTTAGTCAACAAATCTTAATGAATTCATATTAATATGGAAAGTATTTGAAAGAAAAGTGCTTTAGTATATCTCTGAGTAAATTCAATAATGACATGGGTTTTTGCTTTGCATTAGAATCATGGTTTCTGTACCTCCTCGCTCCTGGACGTGCTCCTTGGGTTGGACCATGTGTCTAAGTGACAGTCAAGAAATCTAAATATTTCCTACTTTTTTTATTTTTTTGGAACTTCTTGTGACTTGCAGTTTATCTTTCTTATATGGCAGTAGTTGGAGATATAATGGTGGTCAGCCATTTCCTGGCAATTGTTTTTCCACTGGTATTGTGATTCCACGCACTCGGTGTCGTTTTTCTTTTGCCACTTGTGACAAGGGCTGCAAGACAGCAGGCGAAGAGGAAGGGAATATGGCTAAGGTTCAGCCTTGTTTTTCTGACACAGCTAACCAGCCTGAATCAGACACAAAAGTTGACCTCGCTGGCGTCACATGTTATCTGGCTAAGACTGCAAGTCTGTGATTTCTTGGCTCCTTCATCTGGAACTAATATGTCAGCTCCTTGAGTGCAGTTAAGGAAAATGCCTTATATTTAGGCTCTTACTTTACTGAAACAGGTCCGATATCCTGTGATGCTAAATGTTTACGGATGAATAAAATTTTAAGGGTATAAACATTACTATTTAGTAAGCTGATTTTTAGTAGGAACAAGTAAACCTAGAAACATTTTCAGTGAGCGATCAGGGAGCAATGAAGAATAAATCTTTGATTCCAAGGTGGTAAGAAGGAAGAACAATTTCTGCCTCGGGTTTGATGGCTATGCATTTTAAGTTTTGTACAGAAGGAAAAATGTCTTATCTTTGTGGAATTAAAATTATTTGGCATTTATTTTTTACAGCAGCCACATTGCCAAAGAGTTCTTCCTTTAGTAGATCTGGTCCAGGTTCACAATTAAACACTAAATTACAGAAGGCACAATCATTTGATGTGGCTAGGTAAGTTTGCTTGTTTTAAAATGGGCAACTTGGTTAAAGCTGTATTTTTCACGATCTTATTTTATAGAATACCAGTACTTTTCTTTATCCGGAGTAATGTTACTTTTATTCATATTTTTGCCGTCAGAAATCTACGATGTGATATTTCCTTTAAAGAGTTTGCATATTGTGTTATAAGAGGATAACATATAAGTAGCAATAACTGCTTTAAAATAGGAAAAATAAAAACCCTCCACATAGAGGGAAAATAACTGTGTGGTGTTAATCACTTGACTTTATATGTAAAAAAATTTATATGAACATTAGAGCCATAGTTGGCCTTATTTTTAATTCTATCTCAGATGACCTCATGAGACTGTCTGGATTGTTAGAAAACCCTAATTTAAGGCCAATTTTTGTGAAATGAATTACTCAGATAAGTGGCAGTTGTTATTAATCAAATTTGTGACTCAATTTTAGAAGAGTGTACATGTCTTGATTGCTTTGATTTAGTCCAAGTTTGGTTTCATATTGTCTTTCATATTTTTGTTTACTTTCCCCCTAGTATTTTCCCTTGCACATTGATGCACTGAGGTGAAAAAAGAAGTCACTTTTTAAGTCATCTCAAAACTTGTGGAGAAAAAGGATGTGAATGAAGATGATTCTGTATCACTTATCCCAGTCCTTATTAGAAATCTTTCTTAAGTGAATCAAATTATTTTTCTATTTAGAGAGAAGAATATGTTGAATAGAATTGATAATTCATTACATTAAAAAAATGATTTAAAGAAAATATGTGAACTGAAAAGCACCAACCCAAGTGTCTTATAAGGCACACCAACTCATTGACTGTGTATCTTCTTCTTCATAAGAGGACTTTCCCATGTTCTTTCCGTTGTAGATAAGGAAGGAAGAAGCTCAGGGACATTAAGTGACTTGCTCAGGGTAATGACTCACAAGTGGCTGAGCTTAGAGCTGACCATATTTCTTTCTGGGTTTAGGGCATACTTGTATGGGTTATATTTCAGTTAGTTTTTACTCCTAAGATGCGAGGACATTTCTCGCAGGTTCACCTCATTCCTTTGGCAGACACCTCATTCATCCCTTTAAACCCCCACAGTTGCCTCGGTAGTAGATGTAGTCACAGAATTATGAATGAGGCCATCAATCCAAAGAGTCAGGTCCCTCACTCCTGGCCTACAGCTCACACCAAATTCCATTGTTTATTCTTCCTTCTAGTCCATTCTGAGGTTTGGAGTTTTTTTCTGACTCTCCACAAGAGTTTTGAAATCTGTCTTAAAACTCATCTATGACATGAAACTGAATGAATGATCAGTATTATTAAATGTTAATGCTGTTAAGACAGTTGTGTTTTTTCAGTCATTCAGCTTTTCAATAATTTGAATTTCTAGCAAATTTTTGTAATGGCATCTATTTTTGGTTATTTGCTGGTGTGTTTTCAGTGCATTTAAATTCTCAGGAATTTGGCAGAAAGTTCTGACTTGATAAGTGTAATCTGGGACAGCTTCTGTGTGGAACACCCTACAGTTCTGGGGTGAGGGAGAAAGATAATTAACTTCTTGACATATAGGCAGGAGGTGAAATCAGCAAAACTTTAGTTAGTTTAAAATGAGAGAGCTGTTGCAGAACTTTTCACAGCAGAGTAGGTCTTGGTAAGTGTTTTTTTTCATTAAGAAATTTATAAAAGTGGTGAATTTTAAATAAAATGGTGAATGTAAAAAACGGTCAATTTAATGCCATTGCCAAATGTTTGGGGGCATTTCCTCTGCTTTATAATGTAAAGTATATTGATAACATGAATAAATGATGACTAAGAAGTTCAATTTATGATTAAAATTTGCTTTTATATGTGAAAAATAGATGTTTTGTTGAAAGGGAATTTCAAATGGGGGTGTTAGTTGTAATCTGCTGAGGATTTTTTTTTTTTTTTTTTTTTGCTGTCAGCTCAGTCCTTGTGTCTAAATTGCCCGTTGAGACATCAGGCTGTAACCAGCCCCGGGCACCTACCTGTGTGGGAACTTATCTGAGCAAGTCATCTCTAAGGTGGTCTAGACCCAGAACGGCTGCTGCTGGGGTACCCTGCTCAGGTTAGGGTAGCTGCCTGTTGGCAGGGAGAGGTGGCACTGGTCCCGGGGTCAGGAAAGCAGAGCTCCCTCCATGCTGCCCAGATTGCTGCCCATGCTTCCTCTCTGGGACGCCCTCCATTTGTGGGACTGTAACATCCCGGTATGAAATAAGTTCCCTTTGTGGAGAAATACATCCTTGTGTTTTGGTGGTAGAATGTTAAACATTTAAAAAGAGTTAATATCATTAAAGGCACTTTATTTGTTTGCTGTTAGCCTTGCCTTTTAAACTAAAAGAGGACTATTCTAGAAATTTAGAAAAGTCTGGACATTGTTTATTGCCTCAGTACCGAGGATATTTTCCACACTGTTGTCAAGCCTTTCAGTGATTCCATTGTGTATACAACTTGAAGCAGCCACCTGACCTGTGGTGTTTATCCTTGGTTCTGAAAAAATAGCGAGCCGCTCTATTTTGAGAGAACATTTATAACTTAAAAAGAAAAAGGAAAATATTTATTGCAGAAAGAATGATTGAAAAATGGGTAAAATGTTAGAGCAAGTTTTCTAGAGATGTTCTTGGTTTCCTGTTTTTTAAAAAATTTCTCAGACTGTCCCTTCCTGTTGATTAATCCTTCTCCCTCCCGTCCCTGCTCTCCCCACAGCGCGCCCCCAGGGGCAGAATGGGCTGTTCCTCAGTCATCCAGACTGAAATACAGGCAATTATTCAACAGTCATGACAAAACTATGAGTGGACACTTAACAGGTATTTACCAATAAGAACGGTTTGGGTGAAAGATAACCTTTATTCTGCTTACAAGTTGTTTCCAGCTATTGGGCCAAAGGTATTTTTCAAATCTTTCTGTACTTGCTTTATTTGAAGTAGGCTTTTCACTATCCCTCTTAAGTTCTCATCTACTGATAAAACTGTAGTTACTTTATTCTCCCGTGCCTCAGGCTTTCACTGCAGCATTTCTTGGTAAAATGGAACATAGACCCAGGTTTCTCCTGCATCCCAAAAGCCACTAGAATGCAAATCAGAGCACCAGCAAACAGAAACTGGTTCAAGTTCTGCAGTCCAGCTTTCTTGATGAACTTGAAACTGCCTGCTCGGAATTGGAGATTAAGGCAGGGTGCAGGCCAAGGGAAACTGTTCTGGGGGTTTGGAACCTGCCTGTGCCGTTCAGGTCACGTTGCCTAGTTGGATCTTATTTCTTCATTTATGAAAGACCAGAGTTAAGTTATGTGATCTAGTAAATTAAAAAAAAAAAAAAAGGTTTTATGATACCTCGCAGAAACCTTTCTAACGAGAGGGTCCAACACTTAAGATTGTTAGAGAGTTATAAAGATAAGCATAACTTGATTGAAAGAACATAGAGACCTCTGATGCAAATATTAAATATAAAAGGGGAAAATGTAACTGTCCTTTAACACATGGGAAAGGAAGGGAGACAGGGCTGGCTTCCCTGGGGTGGAGGGGCGTGCATGGCGCATAACACAAAATACATTGCATTTCTGGTTCTTATGCTTTTTTGCTGTCACTTAAAATTGCAATTTTTACTCCCAAAAGAAAAATTCATCCTTATTTAAAAATGTTGGGATTGGGCAACAATTAGAAGGGTTCCGATCTAATCTTGAACTCTGTCCCCATACAGGGTCTCAGCAGTCACCCCTAATAAATACATAATTGTACCTGAAGGTGTGAGTGATCAGCGTCCACTCTTGTCTGTCTGCTGTGTCCACTCAGTCCTGGTGGTTTTGAGACAGAGAGTGGAAACCTGCCCAGCTAATTGGGCCCTGAAGCAGTACTCAGTACAGCAGTTGTAGGTGTGGTTTGGTGTGGCTGTTTTGACACCAGTGCTCAATAGAGACCCAGAACTACCTTGCTACTGAATTTGAAAACAGTTCTTCAGAGCATTGTCGTTGTTTGCTGTGAGCTAATTAAAATAGTATCCAGATATGATGTTAATCCTCTCTTGGTAGGATGTATATTTTATGCCTAAAGTGCAGTGTTTACATCCCAAAGATATTGGCCCAGGTCCTTGACTGTCTTTAACTTTTAATACCTGAGGCAGAAAGTAAAATTTGAAACACACTGGGGAGCACAGGTTGTGCTGGTGTTGAGCTGCACTCTTACTACTGTTTTTGTCCAGGCCAGAATTTAAGGTGGGAGCTTTGCTTTCAAACCAGATTTTTTTAAGTCATGACAACTGAAAGTAATTGAATTAAGCAAATGGAAAAATAGAAAGAAATAAAAGAAATTCAGTTGGTTTTTGGTATATGGAGGACACATCATGCAGTGCGTTTAGGTGGCTCTGATGAAAACAGCTGGTTTGTTGAAATGGGTGAAATACAAAGATCATTGTCATGATCACAACTCTGAAGATAATTGTATGAATCCTGAACCCTAAAAGCAGTTCATTTTAGGAACAGAAGAAATATCAAGGAAGTTGAGGGAAGACCCCAGAATATAGAGAGACTTGAATGAAATATGTGATTTCTCTCTTTTTTCTTTCCTTTATTTATTTTGTGTGTGTGTGTGTGTGTGTGTGTGTGTGTGTGTTCTTAACTGAAAGGAATTAAAGGAATTTTTAAAACTTGTACATAATTATAATTTCTTAATCCAGTGCAATATTTTTCATCCTTGGAGTTGGACCTTCTTGTGTTATGAATACCAGTTGAAGTATAGGAACTGTGGAAATTTTGTTTTCCCCTAGCTCTGTTGAGGTGTAATTGTCATTAAAATGACAATTAAACAATTATAAACAAATGTAAACTATTAAAACAAATGTAATTGTCATTTGTTTTAACATTAGTGAAGGGAGGATCTAGGTTTGCCTCATACATCACTTTCACTACTCACAGTCGTGTGTTTTGGACTGGGTTGGAAATGTAGTGAGCGCCCCCAGAACTGTGTGTAACCTACAGCCTGGCTCATCGCCTCTGTGCTGCTGGTGGTTAGAGGGGTTCCTGGTTACCCTTCCTGTTTTACTTCCACAAATTTCTTTTGGATGCTATCAAATTCTGACTACATCTTGCGTGTCTGTTGTGGGCATAAGAAACCATTAATTGGTCCCAAGCAAAAGAAAGTGAGGCTTTCTGAGCTTGTGCACTCGCTTGTCCACTGTGAGAAGTGAAGCTGTCCCATCGGTGCTTTAGTTTACTCCACTGACCACCTGGGCTGATTTAGTTGCTATATCACAGTAGGTGGACACTCCCTTATTCCTTCACAACTTGGTGTGTATGGTATTACATGCTCTTAAAAGAGACTGTCTTATCAAATAAAGAGGGTCTAGTGTATCAAGGTTATGTAAGTATCTCTAGAGTTTCTGATAATCCCATTAATGCTAACCCCTTCTCAAGGAGGTATCTTACGATCTTCTTGTGTCCTGAAAAAATATATATGCTCTTCATGCAAAAATCACAAATGCTAAACTCTTAGTCTGCAGTGTTTCCAGATAAGCCAGTGCTCCACAATTGGTACCTCCCATGATCTAGGCTTCCACAAGAAGTTGTGTGCCTCAGAACTCAAGTACATGCTGTCCTGTTGTGCTAAGATGTGATCTTAGCTTTTGCTGACTAATGTTTCACAACCTTGTCTTAGGACATGTAGATCAAGTATTAGAATTGCAAAAGACAATTGTGATCTTCCTGTGCAGGGGTGAATAAACATCTCTGTAAAGAGCAAGATAACAAACATTTTAGGCTTGCATCCAGACACTGTTGCAATCACTCACCTTTGCCACTGTGGTGTGAAAGCAACTTTATGTCATGCTTAAATGGACAGGCCCGGCTATGTTTCAGTAAAACTTTATTTATAAAAGCGGGAAGTGGACCAGATAGGGCCTTAGAGCTGTGATTTTCCAATCCCTGTTCTATTATCATCCCTCCTCTCAGAGATGCAAGAACTTCATTTTATAGAGGGAAAGTAATCTTGTTTATGTCACATGTCAGGGAGTGGGAAGAGTCTGGACTGGGATCCACATCTGCTCTACAGGTCCAGGGCTATTCATTTATTGTTATACTTTTTGTTGGGAGTCAGTGAAGTATTGAATATCTTTTATATAGTTGTAGAGTGGAGAGAATCTCTACCAGTATAAATTAAGGCTTTACTAAAATTTTGCTATTTCTCCTTTAATGTTGCCAAGCTTATAAGTACAGTGTGAGAGAGGGAATAAAAGCATCAGTGGACTTTCCCCATTCCATTATGCCACAGAACCTTTGCAACTTCACAGTTACTCAGTAAAGATTATTTGTGATTCTTAGATGTTGCCTGTATGCACACACAAACCCAAGAGAAACTATACAAACATTTACCAAAACTTAGACTGCTCCCTATTCATAGTCCCAAACCCCAAACTACCTGCATGTCTACCAGCAGGAGAACAGATAGTGACGTTTCACACAGTGGTGCACTGAGCAGCAGTTAGGATCAGTGTTCCCCAGCCACACACAGCATCACGTGGAATGTAGTAAGCAGGCTCAGCAGAGCGCTCACTGCACTGTTGGGGGTCCACTGACTTGGTGGGAGGGGCCGTCAGGAGGGATTCCAAGAGGGACTGCTTTATCAGTAGATACTGTTCACTTGACCCTGTGCAGTCTGCACAATTAAGTTGTATCCATGTAAATATCCATGTCTATAACACGTGCTTTTCTGCTCATATGTATATAAGAGTGAAGTATTGTCCATTTATTGAGCACTTTTTCTGTGCTAGCTCTATGCTGAGCTCCACATTGTGGTTCCTTACAAGATGGATTGTTGATTTGTGAATTTGGAAGGGACCTCTGAAATGAGAAAACTAGGGCCCAACACAATGAAGAAACTGCCTGTTCCAAGTCACCCAGACTGAACCCAGACAGGGGTCAGGACTTCTGCGCTTCCTCTGCTATTTATTCTCTGGAACTTTCTGTGCTGGGTCCCTACAGAGATTCTCAGAGATCCCTAACAGCTGCTTCCAGCTGTGCAAAACTCAGCCACTGTGTGTGTGCTTTTTAAATGAGGTGCCATTTCATAAATGAATAGCCAAAACTAAAATTTTGTGCCCCAGAATCTTCCAACACAACTGCTACAGCTTCCCCTTCTTGGTCCATTCATCATCCTGGGATCGCACCTCAAGAGGCAGTGCTGGCAATCAGATATACTTGTCTCTCTGTCTCTGGCAGTGGTTACTGTAACCCTGGCAGCTTCCGTTATAGCTTGTCTGATAATGAAAGCTAGTTTCACGCCAGAAATAAAGATACAAGTATTTAAGAAATGAGAGCTGATGTGGAGAGGAGAGGAGAGTTGAAATCCCCAGGATTCTTTTTAATTGCTAACATAGGAAATGCATCCAATCTTGGCTGTGATATCATTTGTGCAACAAGTCATTTCTTCTTAAAAGTCTGTATAATGAAATGGTTAGAAGAGTTCCCTCTAACCTTCCCTGAGTGTGTCTGATGGTACTTGTGGTGGAAACAGCAGGCAGATGCAGAAGATACTGAATAGAGAGAACAAATTTCAGCTTTGTAAATAAAACCTGATATAAAGAGAGTTGGTATCTGGACAAAGGGGAGATTATGTGTTGAAACGCTAAGCTTTTACATCCTCATTCTTCATTAATCACACATTTAACACAAACTTGTTGAATATGTGCCGGACACTGCTGTGTTCTGCTTTTTCCCCCTCTTTTTTTTCCCCTATGGGGGCTTTATTTCCTTGGGTAATGGCAAATATTGTTTAAAGCACTGTGATTGCTTCTTTAAAAAAGGTACTGTTTTGACAATGAGACTTAACATAGTGTGCGGTAGGTTAGCCCTCAGTGAGTTACTTTAAAAGTTTAGATGAAGTGCCAGCTGGATTTAGTTTATTATACCATCAGTACCTGATTAGATGAGACCAAATAGTTTCAGTATAAACAAAAGATAAACATCGATTGTGTGAGGTTGCACAGCACCAGGGTATTCCTGGACAGTGAAGATTTGCTGACTCATTATGACATTCTTGTCCCTGGTTTTTGTTTAGGTCCTCAAGCAAGAACGATCCTTATGCAGTCAAGTTTACCACAGGCTCAACTGGCTTCAATATGGTAAGGAATGGAAAGTTCCTTAGTTTGTATAGTGTGGAAACTTCATTCTTAGAGCGGTATGGTCTCATGAGTCTTCAATATTGTTTCTTATAGGGGGGATAGGTGATGTACACTTAGTTTTCAGTGAGTTGTGATTGCCTTTCTTATGTTTTCCCCTTTATATTTTGAAAAATATAGAAGCAGAGAGATTTAATATAATGAATTCTCAAAAATTAATAAGACAGCTTACGGAATTCTCAATTCATGGCCACCTTTGGTTTGCTCCTCCTCCCTGGCAATTATTTTAACCCAAATTTCAGTCATTATATCATTTTCATCAATAAATATTTTAGCTTATATTTCTGAAAGAGGTAGGGTTTTTTTTTTTTGCAACATGAGTATAATACCAGTTCGTCCACCTAAAGGTTTTAATGGCAATTCTTGTCATTAAGTTAAAGTATATTGTATAATTTTTTTTTAGATTCTTGTAATCTTTTTAGAGTTGATTTATTCAAAATCAACTGAAATAAGTCTATACTTTGTAACAATTAATCTTTATTTTATAAACTACCCCCTTGCATTGTTCTCCAATCTTCCCTCCCCTAAAAATCCCGACCATTTGTTCTATAGTTTCTTATAGTCTAACTTTTGATGATTGCATCCTTATGGTGTAAATGTAACTCCTCTATTTCTTATAAGTTGATCTGCAGCAAGGTTCTCAACCTCAGCACTGTTGACATTCTGGGCCTGACAAGTTGATGCTCTGGGGGGCTGTCCTGTGAGTTGTGGGATGGTTAGCCGTACCTCTGACCTCGTCCTACCAGATGCCAATAGCATAACCCCTACTTCCACTTTTGACAATCAAAAATGTCTCTAGAAATTGGCAGTTGTTCTGGGGCCACAAAATCAGTCTTTCTTGGTTGAGAACAACCCCTCAGGTTCAAGTTTTATTTATTTACATATGTGTGTGTGTATAATATGTATATATATTTGGCAGTGCTTCATCAGAGATGATACTGTATACTTTGATCGGGAGACATGAATGTCTCTTTGTGTATTCTGCATGCTTTTCAATAGTCATAGATGAACATTGCCAGATCCTGCAGGATTCCTTACATACCAGTGTAACCAGATGGTTTCTTAAGAAGAGTGTATCTCTCAGTTAGTCATTGCCTATTGCTTCTGCCAGGGTAATAAATCTGGTCTTCTATGATCACATGCTAGGTTCCTATATTTGCAGCAAGGCACATTCATAGGGTTGCTGCATAATTGGCCAAGTTCTAGACATACTTCCTTCATATCCTGGTAACTTTCTGCATCGTCTTAAAGGGGGTCTGCTTGTTGCAGTAGAATGATGGCAATAATAGGCCAGTCACCAAATATCTATGTCTGCAACTTGCCCAGACTTCTTTAAGTGTGGGTTTGTACCAGTATCTTAGGACCTTGTGAAATAGTAACTTAAGATCTAACATTGATGCAGGTTGATTGACAGTTTATTAGGTTGTTGTTACGATACTGGAATATATTGAAATGTTTATTTAAAAATTCGCATTGATAATTTGTTCTCTTTGGTAAAGATACCTGAGACTTCTACTGGAATGTTTATATCCTGCTACACCTGAAAAGACGTTTTAATGAAACGCAAATAGGAGGGAAAACAAGTGAGAATTCCACCTGCCTTCTATGCTAAGAGTATCTGTAGTGGGGTGTGGAAAGGCAAGGAAGAGAGGCAGGGGTTTCACCTGTGGGTTCCAGATGCCTGGCATCTGGGAAAGGCAAAACTAGAGGAATGGAAAGGAGATCAGTGGCTGCCAGGGACTGGGTGCAAAGGAAGGGATTGACTGGAAAGAGACAGGAAGACACTTTGGGTGGTGGGGAAACTGTTTTGTGCATCATGGCTGCTACACAACTGAACGTGTCTTTTAGAACTGGCAGACTGTCTGAAGGTCATGGTTTGGAAGTGATTTCTGGGGGGAAAAACGATTTTATGCCACCAAAGGAAATGGCACATTTAAGAATAATTTTTGATTTATGCATGAGCAAGGCCAGTCTCCCAAGGTAGTATCTGTCCCTTTGGCAGTCTAGGGAGCAACTTTGGTGTCTAGAATCGTTAGGTAAAAACCACATTCTTGGGCCTCCCTGGTGGCGCAGCAATGAGCGCTGGGCTGCGAGGCTGCCTGCAGCCTCTGCAGCGCTGGTTCCATCCCCAGCCGCTGGCGAGGGTCCCACATGACACGCAGACCTCTCCTGCCGCGCCCGCTGCTCCCCTCAGCAGTGTGTTTTGTCAGTCTGCCTGTTCTGTTCCCCGCTCTGGCTCAGGTGAATTCTCTCACCCTCCTGTGCTTCTGACTGTACCCAGTGCTTGTATAAATGAATAAATAAATCTTTGAAAAAAAAACACATTCTTGGACTTGTTAGAAAAATCTGTTTACTTTAATTGGCTGCTTAGGCCCATTTATTATGAAGAATTGTGATTAATCCTGAGATCAAGAAGGAAAAACACCTTGACACTGGCAGAGGGCCATAAAGATCGATCCACTTTTGCAGGCCTGCTCAGCCCAGTGAGCAGAATCGGGTCTACTTTTTGTTTTTAAATAACTTTTATTGTTAAAACTGCCTGTCCATTTATTAGCTATTATCTGTGACTGAATTCAGTGTGATAGAGACTATCTAACGCTATGGTTTGCTGAGCATGGTGTTTAAAGACTCACGGAATATGAGTATGACACAGTTAAATGGGGTTGCAGAATATAATTAGAATTATAGCTGACATTTGTTGAGTGCTGAACACCATCCCAACTTCGTGGATTGTCTCGTTATCTTTGCAAAATCAGCATGCAATAGGTACTATTTTAGTAAATTGAGGCACAGAGAAACTCATTTGGAGTAGAGTCAGAGTAAGAAACTAGAACATTAAAATCAATCATGAATACTAACAAGCATGAAGCCAGATCACAACTAACTTTGTGTTAAATAGGAATCTTTCTGACATCGATCAAGATGGAAAACTCACAGCAGAAGAATTTATCCTGGCTATGCACCTAATTGATGTCGCTATGTCTGGCCAACCCCTGCCACCCGTCCTGCCCCCAGAATACATCCCACCTTCCTTTAGGTAAGGAGCATTTGGCTCTTCGGGGAAATTATGTGCTGAGACATAAATTCCAGATGACTTGGTTGACTGCACATCTTGCAGTCGCGTTGTTCCTGGCAAGTGAATGAAATAGCCATGAAGTCAAGAAAATCTTCTCATCTTGGTTCTGTGTTAATCCTAAGCCTATTCTGTGCTTTAAAGTACTTATAGTATATTAGTAAATCAATCAAGTACAACATCAAAAGATTGGTGATTTTGGACCAATCTGTATAATTGAAGCTCACCAGAAACTAATAGCAATTAAAGTGAAATTGTTTCAAGCTATATGTGGAAAATAAAACAAGGAGATTCTGCCTGTAAAGTCTATATTTGTTTATATTCCAGAGGTAACAAAATGCCGGCAATATAGAAGTTACATATAGCCAGGAAGATAATGAGATGATCCTGGTTTGAAATAGAGGCTGAATGGAGATACTGAGAGAATAGACCAAGGTCCAGTGGGGGAAATGTACAGTGACTGGAATGTTCTCCCTGCCAGTCCCATGCAGACTCCCCTTGCCCTCCCACATGGCTGTATCTCAAGGCTTAACCTGAGAGACAGTGAGAGCTTCTGAGCATGAATAAAGAGAAAGGAACATAGATGAGAATTTCTGGGAGACACATAGAGGAGAGACGTGTAGAGATAACTTGGCGGAGACATGTAAGAGAGAAACGTGTGGGGAGACTGCTCCCCACCCTTGGCAGAGGTGGTAGCAGCTGTTATCTTGGCCTGGTGGTGGAGTATGTGATATATTTTGGATTTTCAGTCTTTCCTTCTGTCCCAGCTTTCTAGACCTGCCTAACCCCTTTCTTATGGTTCCCTGCCAGAAGGCACCTTTAGATGCGGCAAACTTCTGAGTCCCAGCATCCCCAGCCTCTTTGGCTGGGGCATTTATCCTTGAGGCAATGGGTAATTTTTGGAGTTTTATTGGGAATCTATTATTTGAAATCCTTTCTTCTCTTTCTATGCATATCAATTCTATTAAAAATCTTTCAGAATAAGAAAAAAAAACCCTCTGTCTTAATTCCTTAAACATCAATTAATTCTTGGGGAAAAAAATCCTTATAAAAGTAAGAGAAATGAAGCCACCACTGTCAGCACATCAGGCCAGGAGCAAAATGAGAAAACTGTGACTGTGTGGGAATAAAATAGTAGCTGGGATGTTTGTCTCCAAAATCCTGTGGAATCACCAGGGGACACGACCCTGGAAGCTGTTAAAAAAAAAGCATCATAAAGAGATGGATGAGTTTAGAAGAGCCAAGGTTAGTGGCTTGAAGGGAGTAAAATTTGTTCTCACAACTCTAAGGTGTAGACGTCTCGGGTTTATTGAGAGATTAAGTGGAGAGACTGTGTAAGGGGAAACGAGATGTGCCCAGTGAACTGAGCTGCTTATATTCCCTTGGAGAAATTTGATTCTTGGAGGAATTTAAAATACATGAGAAAGTAGTGGCAACAGCCGCAAACACTTGCACACACAGGTACTGTTCTAACCATTTTATGATCATTAACTAATTTGTCCTTTGGAGTTGTCCTGCTTCTGGTGGTTTGAACAAGCTGGGCACCTGGAGTGTGAGGGCATTCAAATGTGTAATATTTATTTTTAAATAGTTCTTTATGAGTCGAAAGAACCAAGTCTTTGTCTTTTCCTCTATATAAATGAAATTTGCCCCGTGATACCACATATACTTTAAAAATATATTCCCGTAATTTGCTCAGTTCTACCTAGACCCCCTTTATGTGATTCTATTTCATTTCTTTTCTTCCCCGCCCCTCATACCCATAATTGCAGAAGAGTTCGATCTGGCAGTGGTATATCTGTTGTAAGCTCATCATCAGTAGATCAGAGGTTACCAGAAGAACCTGTCTTAGAAGATGAACAGCAACAGCTAGAAAAGAAATTACCCGGTAAGACTGTCTTTATATTTGAGTTATATCATATTAGAGATTTTTTATCTTTAAGGCAAAGATAATAGTAAAAATAAATGTAGCTGTTGACCTTTTGGCTGTATTCATTTAAATGACCTTAGTCAGGAGTCATTTTTAATATGTTTTTGAATTTGGATATTTGTAGAGAAGTAAGAGTGTTACGTGCTTTACTAACACACCTTGTTTTAGCTTTTAAATTGAAATTGAATTATTTCAATTAAATTGAATTATTTCAATTAAACTAATAAAAAAATTATAAATGTTATCTATTAGACCCTCTAAGTTGGTGAGCATTAATGTGGTTGCTTAGCACTACCAGCACAGAAAGAGAATGTAAAATCATCTCCTGTAATTTTCTCATACTGTTAGAGAAACTCCTGTATTACAGGAAACTATTTTAAATTCATTGAGCCTATTTTAAAAAAACCTCATTTATAACAATAAGTCCATCATACTATTAAAATATTCTAAGGGGCCTCACCTGGTGGCGCAGGTGGTTGAGCGCCGCGCTATGAAGCTGTCCGCAGCCTCTGTAGGCTGGTTTGATCCTGGCCGGCTGGCGAGGGTCCCACATGGCTGGCAGACCACTCCTGTTGTGCCCGCTGCTTCCCTCAGCAGTGTATTTCGTCAGTCTGCCTGTTCTGTTCCCCGCTCTGTCTCTGGTGAATCCTCTCACCCTCCTGCACATCTGGCCTGTACCCCAGTTCTTGTATAAATAAATAAATAAATCTTTTTAAAAAAATAAAAAATAAAATATTCTAAGGTGGCTGTGAATTTTTAAGGATAACAGTTGATGCCAAGAAGCAAGTGAAATGTATTTGGAGTCTCTCTGTGTTAACTACTTGGTGTTGTTTTGCTTCATCTGAAGTGCTTCGTGGTTAACTGACATGGTCAGCTCTCCCAGCTTCCTCTTTAAACCAAATGACTTTATTTTATAAAGATAAATATTGGATGATTTCACCGATGTGGGGACTAACTACAAGGAACCAAAGTGGGTGAACTTGCAAAACAAATTAAAAATAAACCAGTGGACACTGATAACTGAGGATACCAGAGTGAAGGGGGTGAGGGTGGGAGAAAGGTGAAGGGTCTGAAGGATGGTGGTGGGTGTTTTGTCATTGCTTTTTTTGTTTGTTTGTTATAAAAAATAAGTAAAATTGAAGGAACTTACCTCAGATGGGAAAACAACCATATAATTTAAATGGATTTGTTTGTTAAAAGTCAACTCAAACAAGAAGCATAGAAATATGTTGACATATACAACAGAGATGAAGATGGGTTTCGTACAGGGGTGGGGGGAATCGATGGTAACAAATTTGAGTTTGAGGAAGAGAAAGAAGACCTGGATCTGCATGATTGGAACTGCAGAAGGAGAGGTGGTACAGATGAGGTAGGACAGGTGGGCAGAACCTAGATCCCTTAGACATGGAGGTCACAGTAAAGAATTGAGTTTGGGGTGAGACCTTAAGCAAGGAAGAGGTTTTCAGTTTGGGCAATGAATAGAATGAAAGTCAGAGGCTGGAGGAGGCATTTGCAGTAGTTCAGATGAACAGTGGTAATGAGGGCTAGAACAGCAGAGACAACATGGAGAAGAGATTGAATTAGGGATCTATATGGGAAGGAGAATAAACAGAACTTTCTGGCCAGTTTGTTGTGGGACGTAATAGAAAGTAATGAATCAAAGGCCTCTTGCTGCCTTGGGCACTGGGTGGCTGGTGAAGCTACTTAGGATGACAGGTAGACTGGGAATAAGAAGTAGGGCAGATTATGGTAATTCCTCCTTGATGCTGTTTCTCTCTTCCTCCTTGCTAGATAGATTAATTAAGTACTTGACTAAACGACTTTTTGTTCACTGATAAACTGCTTATTGAAAATGTTCTGGTGCACGGGGATGTGTTGAGTATAATGAAGGATCAAAATGTTAGTAAGAACACTTGGTCCATACTCAAGGTTATGATGTGTGACGAGTTAAGACATCGGTATCAGAGCAGTGATAAATGCAATAGATTCCTGAAGATAGCATTGTAGGTGCATAGCAGAGCTCACTTTTGCCCGGTTGGTGTAGACTGGGAAAGAAACAAGGAATTATGTGCCTATGTACCAGAAATAGGGTCAGATTTCGGAATTAAAAAGATATATGGACTTTGATTTTCTTTTAAAATTGAGGTAGAATTCACATTATATAAAATTATGATCATTTAAAAGTATAGAATTCAGTGTCTGTCAGTCGGCTCAGACTGCCTTAAACACAGTATGGGTGAGAGCTTCTCTTGCCCAGAGTGGGCTTCAGGGAGAGGTGTGTGGGGCAAACCCACGACTGAGTAGACACTGCTGAAAACATAGAACAGGACACAAAGGGTGAGAATTTTAAAAAGAAGTAAAATAAAATGGATATAAACAAAGTGTTATCCAAAGAGGACAGAGTGTAGAAGCAGAGGTCAAGTGAAGTATATTTTCTAGACAGGGACAGACAAGCCTTGCCTGGCAACAGAAATCACGGCATCCAGCCTCTTGGCAAACAGTGGAGCCTTGAGAACACCAAGCTGTACTGTCTGCTGCTGCCCTGAATCACAGTGGAGATACGGAAATGTGGGACTTTAGGCTGTACCATAAGCCAGTGGGTCCCTTTGTTTCCACCCTTACTCCCCGCCCCGCCTCAGTACTCTCAGCTCTGTAGTCCTATTCCCAGGGTTTGTTTTGGTTTAGTTTATTAGTTCTTTTTCCCTCCTCTATTTTCTAGGTGCGTGAAATCATCTTTCTCCTTCTGACTTATTAACCCTGATCCCCTCCAGTTCTGTCCATGAGTTCATTTTTTTTTTTTTAATATAGCTGAGTAGTGTTCATTGTTTATATATATACCACATCTTCTTATTCACAGCTCTGTCATTGAGCATTTAGGTTGTTTCCATAATTTGATTATAGTAAATAGTGCAGTGATTGTAGAAGTGCATATATCCATTTGGGCTAATGATTTTGTATTCACTAGGTAGATACCAGGAGTGGAATTGCTGGATCATTTGACAAATCTATTTTTAATATTTTGAGGAACATCCATACTGTTTTTCATAGGGGCTCAACCAGTCTACATTCCCACCAACAGTATATGAAGCTTCATACACTTAAACATTTGTTGTTTGGGGCGTTTTGCTTGTTTTTTGATATGGGCAATTTTCACTGGAGTAAGGGGACTGTCTCATTGAGGTTTAGATTTGCTTTAAGTGAAAGGCATTTTCATAGTGTTTTTTAACAAGGGCACAAGCAGGAGGACACTTGGGGGGGCATCTAGGTTTTCATTTATATTACAAATTTCAAATACGCCAGTGGTTTTTTTCCTTTGATAATAGTTTGTTGAAAATCCTGATTTTTCATAATTATTCGGTTTCTTGTTGTCAAGTAACATTTGAAGATAAGAAGCGTGAGAATTTTGAGCGTGGCAATCTGGAGCTGGAGAAGCGAAGACAAGCTCTCTTGGAGCAGCAACGCAAAGAGCAGGAGCGCTTGGCACAGCTCGAGCGGGCAGAGCAGGAACGGAAAGAACGAGAGCGCCAGGAACAAGAGCGCAAAAGACAACTGGAGTTGGAGAAGCAGCTGGAAAAGCAGCGGGAACTCGAACGTCAGAGAGAAGAGGAGAGGAGGAAAGAAATTGAGAGGAGAGAGGTGTGCAGCTGTGGAGCAACCCCATAATTGGTGCATGTGATCCTGCCCCTCTAACTATCTTCAGAATTATTCAGAATATATTTTTCTTCTTACAGTTCAGTAGTAGCAGTAGTTGTAGTATATTCACAAATTGTGCACCTATCACCACTAATGATGGAAGATTTTCAAGACCCCAAAATAAACTCCTTATGCAACAATTATTCCCTCCTTCCTAACCCCTAACAACCATTAATTTACTTTCTATCTCTGTAGGCTTGCCTATTCTGGATGTTTTGCATGACTGAAATCATACATTATGTGACCTTTCGTGTCTGACTGTCACTCAGCATATTTTTAAGGTTCATCCCTATTGTAGCATGACTCAATACATACTCCTTCTTTTGATGATATACCACACTTTGTCATTAATCAGATGGTGGACATGTGGGTTATTTCACTCTTGGGCTATTATGAACAAAGTTGCTATGAACTTTCATAGCAATGCCATGGTTCTCATTTTTCGTGAAGTATATCTTAAAAATGGGGCATTTTTCTTTATAAAAAGTAATACTTGGGTTTAATTTTCTGATGATTGCTTGAGAATACTTGTAGCCACAAATGCCTTTTATTCAGACAGACACACAGATACTAACACGATTTTAATTTTCAGAATGAACAACCAAAATATTAATCAACCTTCCCTTCTTTGGGTGTTTTAAAATAAAAAATATTGATTTATTTGGAATTATTTAATAGCTTACCACATGCCAGGCATCGATAGTTCCTGGAGATATGGTGGTGAGTTGCTACTCCACCTGCCTTCCAGAAGGCCTTACAGTGTAGTCGGAGACCAAGCCAAGGAGAAGCAATTGCAGTACAATAAAGAATTTTAGGTGTGCCAACAAGTACTTGACTTCTTGACATCATTGTCAACTTTGAAAAGACCTCACATTGCCAGAGAAATCATAGAACCTTTTATGGCAAAATTGAAATGAATGATTAGAAAGATTGGGTCATAAACTTTTAAAGATAAGTAATTTCTTATTTGATGGATGAAATTATAATTACTCTTTTGATGAAAGAAAACTTTTTTTGTTTGTGTATTTTTTTGGGGGGGGTTGGTTTGATTATAGTGGATTAAAGAAATTTTCCTTGCTCTCTAAGAATAAAAATGAAGGAGCAGTTTTATTTAGCACTTCAAGCATTCTTAAAAGCATAAAAGAATCAAATTCAAATGGTGAAGCAATCTGTCAGTTCTCATCTCATGTAAATAAGATAGCCTTTTAAAATATGTCCTGTTCTTATGGAAGGAATACTGTATTTGTATAAAAAAGCTTTTTGTTGCTCTGTATTGTAACTTCTTATAATATTAATGATGATAACTTAAGCCTAAGAGAAAGACTTATTAGATGTTATGTTGATTAAGACACATTACATTGTGTAATAACTGAAAAATTAATCATCTCTTTATATGTCCCAGGCTGCAAAGCGAGAACTAGAAAGGCAACGACAACTTGAATGGGAACGGAATAGAAGACAAGAACTCCTAAATCAAAGGAATAAAGAACAAGAGGACATAGTTGTACTGAAAGCAAAGAAAAAGACTTTGGAATTTGAATTAGAAGCTCTAGTGAGTAAAGTTTGATTATGCTTTGTGAATACATTAACATTGAGCCTTACAAATGGTAATATCTCTTATCTTTCATTTATTAAAGAATGATAAAAAGCATCAACTAGAGGGGAAACTTCAAGATATCAGATGTCGCCTGACCACCCAAAGGCAAGAAATTGAGAGCACAAACAAATCTAGGGAGCTGAGAATTGCTGAGATCACCCATCTGCAGCAGCAATTACAGGTGAGCACATAAGTCCCTGGAAAGCTTTTAAGACTATGTGTTTTCTCTTATTTATTTCATTTATTTATTCATTCAACAAGAATCAAGCATCCATCCTGAAACCAAGATAAAAAGTGAAGATTCTTATCTGAAAGATAAGCATTTGGGCACACAGCTAATTCCTTCTCAAGAAATAGCTGTCCCCACTAGCAATTCAGTGTAGTTTTCCTGCAGAGGATTAGAGGTAAGGTTAGAAGTTTGTGAGGGCCCAGAAAAATGACTTTTGTCTGCTTGGCCTTGAATCTGGATGGGGTAGTTTTTGCCCTCGGTCATTCATTATCGTTTCCCTCCTTTTCCCCTTAGGAGTCTCAGCAAATGCTTGGAAGACTTATTCCAGAAAAGCAGATACTCAATGACCAGTTGAAACAAGTTCAGCAAAACAGCCTGCACAGTAGGTGTTTTATTTTTCAAGTTGTCCTTTTTTGACTGGCAAGACTTTCTATAAGTAAAACAAAAACTGTAAAAGCCAATTTTCCTTCCTGCCACTTTGTTTTTCTTATCTCGCAGTAGTTTTTTTCCCCCTTGTTTGTTTATTTGTTTTTAAATAGGAGATTCACTTCTTACACTCAAAAGAGCCTTAGAAGCAAAAGAACTAGCTCGGCAACAGCTACGAGATCAACTGGATGAAGTTGAAAAAGAAACTCGATCAAAACTGCAAGAGATTGATATTTTCAATAACCAGCTGAAGGTAACCATTCTGTGTGTGCCTCCATGTGTGCCCTACCCTTTCGTTTTTCTAACTGGCTAGATGGGTTAGTCAATACTTGGGACTTAGGATTTAGCTTCACAATTTTATCGTCTTAAGAATGTTCACTCTTATCCTGTAATAAGGCCAGAATGTGAACATTTCATTTCCTGTCACAAATGATTTAGGTGACAACTTTAAGTTCAAGTAGATACTGCAGTTTTAATCTATGTTCCTATAAGAACACAATTTTATTATATTCGTTTGTCAGCCTTTGTGAAAGCTTTCCCATTTATAGATGAACACTGTAATCTAATATGCCTTGTTCTCCTTTAAAATGTGAGATTGTATCTGGCATCTATACACTGGGGCTGAGCGAGTGGCCCCAACGTGGTAGCTACCTAAAACTCAAATTCTGTTGTTACGCTTTTCCATCCTTTTGTCTGTTGATAACCACAAGTTGGACCCCAACAGCAGGCCTCCAAAAGCTTCATCCTTCTTACATTCTGGGAACACTACCAAAAAGGAATCGTTTTCTCTTCTAATGCCAAGAATATTTCTGCCGCTTCTTACCTTCAAGATTGTGCTTTGATTATAGAGCTTTATCTTGTTACCTCACATTAAGATTTTTTCTCTTGATTAATGGAGTATTGTCTTTTGTCTCCATGACAGAAATGGTATATGGTTTTGTCACACAGGAGAAAATTCAGGAAAAGGCCAGAGCTCTTTGGAGTGGAAAAGTAGTTGGATCACAGCCTCTTCTGCTCCGGGACTTAGGATTTAGCTTCACAATTTTATCATCTTAAGAATGTTCACTCTTATCCTATAACAAGGCCAGAATGTGAACATTTCATTTCCTGTCACAAATGATTTAGGTGACAACTTTAAGTTCAAGTAGATACTGCAGTTTTAATCTATGTTCTTACAAGCAAGGGGATTTTACACTTTCCCAAATATTCATTTTTCTTTTCCAACTTCCAACTTAGAATCCTTTATAATGGATCTAGGCCAATTTAGCTTTTGACACTAGGAAAAAGTAAAAACCTCCTTCTTTACTACTAAAAACAGGAAAAAATTAGAAAGCATATTTCAGATTTTTAGTTGTCCTTTGAATTGAGATTCTAGGCCAAATTGTCTAGACGTCTGAGTTTGAGGTATTTGTGCTGGTTTTTTTTGAGTAGTAGGTGATGAACTTTTCTCACAATTCCAGGAAAATACTCTTAGGGGAAATATTATTTGAGCCAACTTAGTGTTTTTCTTCATTTGTTTTCATGATTACATTGTGTGTGTATGTGTGTGTGTGTTTGTGTGCACTGTATGTGTGTTCTGTATGTGTATGCATGTGATATGTGGTATGTAAGCATTGCAAGTACAGCTGTGAATTCTCTTGTCTGCAATAAGCACAATAAAAATGCTCACATAAACTCTTCATTGTGACTTGTCACTATTTCAAGCAAAAAGACTATGACACTGTTGCAAGTTTACACTGTTTTTTTTAAGTAGTCTCTTGGAATAGAAACTACTCAGGAATCTTCTGAAGCCAGGCAGTAGTCCAGATTTCTGCCTTAATCTTAACATTCCTTTTTCTAGAAATTTAATTTCCAGAACAAGCATCACATATTAGAAAATGATACTCTACTGGGTGATTTTTGACTAATGCCAAGGCAGTTATGGATTATTTTGGTTATTGAATTTGCTATTGCCATTGCTAAAGAGAACACCCTAAAAGTGTGGCATCAGTCACCTAGCTGTTGAATCAGTTGCTTAAATCAGCTGTTTCATTCATGTTAGAGAGATGCTTAGACAAAGCCTACTTTTGCCTCTTTTTTCCATCAGTGCTTTTTCCAGATATACTTATTTTTAAATAAGAACATTTCTGTTCTAATTTTAATTTTGGTTTTCTGTTATTAAATTCAAATAAATTATCCATTATTTAAATTTAAGTTAATGCAGAGAGTTAAAAAACCACAAGCCAGTGTAGTTGTATTGTTAGGACTTAGTCATTGAGTTACTCATTAAAGTTACAAGTTCATTATGTTGCCTTATGCTTGTTATTTCTAATAACTTCTCAAAACTGGGCATACAAACACAGACAACATTAATTGAAGAACTGAAAGATTTATAATTTGAGATAATTCCAAGGCAGACTTATGATTTATTTTTTTTTAATTTATTTTTAAAAAAGATTTATTTATTTATTTATACATGCACTGGGTACAGTCAGAAGCGCCGGAGGGTGAGAGAATTCACCAGAGCCAGAGCGGGGGTGGGGGGGCAGAACAGTCAGAAGGACCGAAGGACACTGCTGAGGGGCGCAGCGGGCGTGGGACCCTCCTCTGGTGGCCGGGGAGCAGCTGGGGATGGGACCGGCGCCGCAGAGGCTGCGGGCAGCCTCGCAACCCAGTGCTCAACCGCTGCGCCACCGGGGAGGCCCCAGACTTAGGATTTAGATCTTGACTGTCACCTGCCTACCTTTGTGGGCACACTGGGAACATAAAAGTTTTCTTTCTAACTTTAGCACATGTGTTCATTAATGACTGAAAATTTTGTATGGTAAGATAGACCCAAGGACCCTTCCAATTTCATCATGCCTCTCTTGACATTGCAGTGGCTCCATGGCACCCATACTGCAATGCAAACACTGCTCCTGTCTTGCTGGGCATGGAGTGTTGTCCATTCGCCCGCAGTCCAATCTGATGGTGTGAGTTTGCTAAATCCTATGCACCCCCTCTCCCAAAATGAGACCAGCTGGACCATATAGGAAAGAAATTAGGACTTAACAGATTTTATATCCATGTTGACTTTTCACCTAGAAAAAGAGAGTATTATTTACTCATTATTCTAATGGCCTTGTGGGGTACAAATTTAAATTTGTTAGTTGACCAGACCATTACATCTATATTCAATGATGGACTCTATAAATGAGGATTACGTTTAGCAAAAATCAATTCTCACATTATTTTGGTGCAAAATTACTTGCAATAAGTTACATTCATTTTGATTTCACAGTCCAATCATGTCTAGTTCCTTAGATGTAAAACAGGGTCATGCACAGAATAATGGCTCCCTGCCTTAGCCCAGATTCTGAGGTAGAAGACAGACCTGGAAGTCTAAGTGTTTTTAGTTTCTGGAACAAAGAAGAGTTTAGAGACTAGGTATGTCTTATCATTTTCCTTTATTTTGAAAATATATAGTGTATGATTTAGTCATTTGTACTCTCTAGTCTACAATCACTCTTCTTTGGAGGGTCTCTGTATTTTTCCTTACTTCAGGAAGAATCGAACTCTTGCCTCCCTACCCAAGATCTGATAAACAATAATGTAAATTCTCAAGTCATTATTTAAAGAGGGACCAAGTTACTTCTTCAGTCAGATTGACAGATATTTGTTTCCTATGGATGGCAATATATTAAAGCCATAAGGCACTTTTTAATTAAGGTCATGTGTTGTTAAATGGCTCCGGATTCAGGTCTCTGGGGTGTTGGTGTTTACCTTGAGAGCTCATTCTTTCTTCCAGAAAAGGCTGCTTTCCCGTGGATTTAAATAGACATGTACCCCATGGACATGATATCCCAAAAATGACCCCAGCACATAGGTGTCTTCCTTTTTCTAATTTATCATCCCAAATCAAAAAGTACTTGAGAAAGGAAACAGGCAGGACTCTTTACCTCACTATAGTAAATAAACTTTACTAGGAGAGGATGGGAGAAAGGGGAAACAGTGGCACCCTGAGATATTGAAACTCTTGTGCTGAAATTCCCCGGTTGGCAGCCTTTGTATTTATGCTGACTTTTGATAGAAAGTTAGTCTTAGCTTTTTGATGACCAAATGAAATATTCAACCAGTGATTTGACCTGAATAATTGACTCTATTAGTAATTACTGCTAACATGAATTAATACTTCTGACTGTAATTCAGTAGCTCTGACTTGTTTTCCAAAGTTTTCTGCTTTTATCTGCAACAAATATTTTCTCCTGCTAAGAAATCAGTAATTTTGTATTCATCTTCTAGAAACCCCAATTTAAAATTACTATCTATGGCTTTCCCTTTTTACCTTATTTCATAGTAAAATCAACACTCGGCATTTTTTTGTGGTATCAAAGGGTGCAAAGATCATTGTTTTTCTTACATAGAGTGTTTACTTTAAAAAAAATTTATTATTTATACAAGAACTGGGGTACAGGCCAGATACGTGGGAGGGTGGGAGGATTCACCAGAGACAGAGCGGGGAACAGAACTGGCAGACTGATGAAATACACTGCTGAGGGGAGCAGCGGGCGGCAGGAGAGGTCTGCTTTGCCATGTGGCATTCTCACCGGCTGGCCGGGATCGAACCCGCTCTGCAGAGGCTGTGGACAGCTTCATAGTGTGGCGCTCAACCTCCTGCACCACCAGGGAGGCCCGAGTGTTTACTTCTTGTGTCAAATTTGATTCTAACACATGTCGTTAGCATTTCTGAGAAGGGCTTTCTGGAGAGTAGTGCCTGACTCCCTGGCCCTTGGCAATGTAAGCAGTTAATGTAGGGAAATGCTGACAGCCTAGCACCCCATGTTTTAGTGTTTTCACTATGATTCAGAGCAGCAGCACTATGATTCAGTACAGCTTGGAGTTCTCAGGGCTCCACTGTTTGCCAAGAGGCTAGATGTCACATTTCCTGTTGCCAGGCAAGGCCTGTCTGTCCCTCTCTAGTCAGCGTGACTGACAAGTCCTCACGTGCATGGCATAATATTGAGCATTTCTTTCTTCCCATCGGTGGCAGTGGAGGAGGCTGTGGTAGTACCTGCAAGTCTCCTGGGCTGCACCATTCCCTTAGACTTCTTTCTAAAGGCTCCATGCCCCACCTCGATCGTGCCCCTCTCTCTCAGATAAAGAAGGATGATGTGGCTTCAGTCCGTGCTGCTGTCCCCCCGTGTGGATGAGTGCTCTGTCTAAGCTGGTGTTGGCCCTGAGGTGCTATGCCTTCTGTGTAAAAGTTAATAATCATTAGTTATAAACCATGGGGTA